CCACTGTCGCCACTGGCTTACTCATGGGGACTTGGACTGCTGCTTTGTGACATCACCTGTTGTAAAAAGCATTATTTAAATAAACTTTGACCTTACTTGACTTGAATGGTGAAAAATTCCACTTTTAAAACTGGATCAATTTTGTATCTTCAGTGCCCAAACGATTAAGTGCTGTTAAAAGGAAAGGTGATGTAACACCGTGGTAAATATGCTCCTGTCACATTTTTTGGAATGTGTTGCAGGCATCAAATACTGTGTTTTTATACTGTATTCTTCACTCTTAAAAAAGATGTTTCTTCAAGGTTTGTTTAGTAAAGATAATGGTTCTGTATAGAACTATGAACACTCATTTGACTGCTTAAATGGTTCTTTGCATGGTAAAATGTTCGTCAGATTGAGGAGAATGTGTTGCATAGGGTTCTTCTATTGTTGTGATGTCAAGCTTGTTATAATACAAAAACCCTTTTTGGCGCAATATGGAACCATTTTAAAAAACGTTCTATATAGACCTATATACAACACATTGTCCATCAATCTTGAAGAACCATTTCACCATGCAAACTGTTCTTTGAGTATTCATGGTTTTATAAAACTTTACTAAAGAACCCTTAAAGAACTATCTTTTTAAAAAATGTCTTCAATACAGGTCAAACCAAATTTACTAATCATTGCTTTCTGTTTTTATTAGCATTTCACATACACTTCCACCTTTTTTGGAACTGAAGTTTGTAAATGAGCATAATTTGATATTCTGACTAACTATCTAAACTGATCAACTGTCAGAAAATTAGCATGACTATAGGTGCAGAAGTAGCAAAACTGGGGCATGCAGAATGGGAAAAAGAGAAACTATTACATAGTTCAATAAGTTGTTTGCCAGGTTTGCTTGCTGGAGCTGAATTGCCCATAAGTTATGACTGTGAAGCAGTTGTTTAGAGGGCCTATAACTTACATTCTTCCTGTATTTTGTTTTTCCCTTCAATGTCTTCTTATGACGTTTGTGTTTTGAAACTTTAGCAATGTTTACATACCACAACAAACTCATTTGAAAAAAGCAAGTAAAATTTGTTTGTTCACGATACAAGCCTTTAGGACTAGTCTGATCTATCATGTAAAAGGAAAATACCATGAAACCTGCCTATACCTTTCTGGATTTTAGAATAGTATACAGAAAGACATTAGAAAAGAAACTGCGCTTTATGTTCTTATGCCCAGGGGTCATACTGTCTACCATTTATAGCGAAAGGGCTCCACCTTGTGTAAAAAATGAGCAACTTTGCACAGTCTCCTTTAGACATTGTCAAGTTTTTCATTATTGCTTGTCTACAGAAAAAGGTGTGCTAAAAAAAGACTTCTTAAATTTTTTACAGTTGATTGTATGATACATTTTATATCAGTAACCAAAGGTGGAACGTCAAAACTTAAATATTGTGAGCATTTCAAACAATGCCTAGTTATAAAGGGTTTCCAAAAGAAAGTTTGTTGAACAGAAATGGCCATTAGTGTACCACAGTGTGGACTATATATTTAATTTAATGAGGAATTCCTCAGATATTTTAAATGTTCTACATAATTCAGTGTTTGAGATGTGAACACATAAAAAGTGATTTGGTGTGAGATGGTGCTTTGTAGAAGCTCCATTTCTTTATAGTGGTGGCGGTAGGAACCAGGGATCACCATGTCTACAACACAATATTGCCATTTTATTTACTATCCAAAACCACCAGTGAACCTACACGTTTCTTTTGAGTTTTAATATGGAATCTTGATGCTGGTAAAATAGTGGAAGAAAAAGTTTTCTTTGGGGACTACTTTTGCCTCACAACATCCTGCATGTATCCCTCCACCCTGAGTGTATTGTTTTAAAAATACTTCTTAGGCCTTTCAAGCAGAATATCTGTAAACGTCACATGTAATAGTTTTATGTGATGTAGATATTAAACACCTCAGACGTCTGGTTCCAATGAACAATTCTGAAAAACTGAATAACATATTAAGCATTTGACTATACAGAAATTTTCAACTGCTTTTGGGTCGCTCTCTCACACTACACATCCACGCAATGATTGTGTCCCCAATGTATCACGTTTTTATGTTTCTTGGAAAAAATATATCCCTTCATATTTATGTACAAAAGATGTTTTTTCAAGGGTTCTTTAGTAAAGAACCATAAGTTAATGCTTAAATGGTTGTTTGCATGGTGAAATGGTTCATCAGATAGATGGAGAATGTGTTGTATATAGTTATTTAAAGAACCTTTTTGGAAATGGTTCTATATAGCACCAGAAAGAGTTCTGCTATTGTTTAGATGTCAAGCTTGTAATGATAGAAGATCCCTTTCTGGTGCTATATAGAATAATTTTCAAAAATGTAAAGAACCATTTCGCCATGCAAAGAACAATTTAAGAATTAAATGGTTTAATGTAGAACTTGGTTCTAAATGGAACCATTCCCTTTACTAAAGATCCCTTAAAGAACCATCTTAAGAGTGAAGGCCATTTTTGAACAAGTCCTGTCTTAAAGCAAAGGTCATCCCCACACCTCCACTGGATACCATTATTGGTCTTTCTGTGAGGATTACTTGTAATTTACTGTCAACTACAAAAAACAGTGTTTGCATTTCATTCTTACACATTAGGTCCCTCAGGTTACTTTTTTTCTTTCCTTAATTTTGTGACAGAAAGTGCCAACTTCCATTGCCAACCAGTTGGCTTCCTGTTTGAATTTTTCCGTTTCACCTTAAATGGTGCAGCGGTTACATTCTGGTGCTGGAGCGCTGCAGAACTGCTGCAACATTTAAGGTGGAACAGGAAAACTCGAACAAGAAGCTGGCACATAGGAAGCCAACTTCAGCTTCGTGTTTGGATGTTCATCTAATTTCGTGACACAATTTAACTGCGATAATATTCTCTTCTGCTGCTAGTTTTGCCTCAAGTAAACTGACCTTTACTTAGTTAACACGCTAGTTAGCTAAGTTAGCTCCATAATATTAAGCTCGAGGTTGACTGACATTAGCTTCGCTTTCATTAATTTGAATATTTGTTTTCACTTTTGTTGAAGGGGGTACAGAGCTAGCTACATAGTATGCAAGAGTTTTATTTTAAATAATCTTAAAGCCATAGCTAACCTGCAAGCTAATTAGCTTAACGATTGAGTTTTGGCTCGGCTAGGTTGCTAGGTCAGCTAGCAGTTCGTAATAGAATTGGATGTGTACGGGGCTTAGATTTATAAATGAAATGTAAACCATGTTTTCGTAAATACAATAAGTTGTATGGAAAATAGTAATACAGTTATAGCTGAAACTATAATTAGCCAGCTTCTGGGTTTGTAGCGTGGCGTCACGGTGGCCGAGAGGTTAAGGCGTTGGACTCGAAATCCAATGGGGTTTCCCCGCACAGGTTCGAATCCTGTTCGTGACGACTAAATATTTTCATTTTCATCTTTTATAACGACCAAAACTTTGCATGGTGAAATGGTTCTTAAGATTGCTGGAGAATTTGCTGTATTTGGTTTTATATTTGCCTTTTTTGAAAATGGTTCTTTATAGCACCAAAAAGGGTCCTATTGTTTTGAGGTCAAGCTTGTATCGATAGCAAAACCCTTTTATATGAAACCATTTTTTTAAAAGCTCTATATATAACCATACACAACACATACTTACTTCATCAATCTGAAGAACCATTTCACCATGCAAAGAACCATTTAAGCATGCAGATTTGGGTTCTTTACTAAAGAACCCTTGTAGAAGCATAATTTTTAAGCATGCAGGGCAGCCTTACCCTACTGAAAACAATCACAGAAACCATTAAAGGTTTCTACTGGTTCCTGGTGGTGTCCAGTAGTCACTAATCCCTGCTGAAAAATGACCATTAGAACCATTAGGATTAAAAAAATATTTTTGCTTCTTACTGGTAATTGGCTTAATAGTTCCCATTACAGATCACTGGTTTAGAACACCTTTAGATCCCACTGGGAAACCATCCAATGTATCTGCTATCAGTCTCAGGGCACCATTACAGTGTGTCCACCCATTTTTCAAAGATTCTGCTTAGTTAAGTCATAGATATGTAAAAAGTCATTCAGAGTGGTTTGGTGTGAAATGTTTTTTATATAGAATGTTGATGACGGGAAAATAGTGGAAAATCTGAAATAATAAGTTTTCTTTGGGCACTATTTTGTCTCACAACGTCCTGCATGTATCCCTCCACCATGACTGGATTTTAAGGTAGAAATCTTCTCAAAACTACTATAAAACAACATCTCAGACATCGAACAGCATACTCATAACCATTTAATGTAATAACTTTCTGTGAGGAAGTGAGCTTTCAGAGATGGATGTCTGGTTCCTAACACCACCTCTGCGAACAATTCTGACTTGGTACGTTCCTCTAGAACGGGGCCCTTCACACCAAATCACTCTGAATGAACTTTGTTTACATCTCAACAACTGAATTATTCAGAAATGTCGAACAACTGGTGAAATTCTCTTTTAATGAAGTCTTGTTTTAACTGAATTATCATATTTCAATTTATCAAAGTGTGGTGTGAAACACTGTCAGTAACTCAGAATATGACCGAAAGCGAATCAGCAGCGATCAGCGGTTAGGATTTCGTTAGGACGGGAAATATTTCTGATGTATGCAATCAAATCATATTACACAACGTACACACTGAGGAAATAAAGGGTGTGCGGGTATTTCCTTTCCATGTGGACACATTCCTCATTCTGACCAATCAGACAGCGACATCGCGGCACGCACCAACGCGTTTCTCATTTGTTCTTCTTGTTAAACAGATATTTCACGTCGACGTTTAACATTTGACCACTGTTGCACGTTGAATATTTAATGTTTGACATGTAAGCAAATGCGCTTCGTATGTGAGAAAATCTCGTGTTCAGAGCGACTAAGCTCACATGTACACCCCCCCCCCTTCTGTAGCGGAATAATGGAACAATCCAGCTTGTACATAAGCAATACCGAACACACGTTGGCGTTATTCTGAGTTTTTTTTTTTCTGTTAGGGAGTGAGGGTGCAACTGGCAGTAATGTCAACGTCTTTTTTTCCTAGGTTAAATATGATTATATGATTGCATAATGCCTCACAAATAGATACACAGGTTGAAAATAATAAACCTGAACAGTTTTTATGAAGGCTTGACGTTACCGATGCCAGACCTTTTGGGTTTTTTTTTTGTAAAACAAATAACGCTAGTTGGCTGCTTCTTTTGTGTTCGGGGGCGTTATACAGCTAGCAGTTAACGTCGTTTAGAGGATAATTTAAAAGCAGCTCATTTCCTTTTTTTGAGGGGACTGTTTGAAAGTGTAGCTCGTTAGCAGTCTTTTGTGGCTGCTTCACCTCATTGTGTGGATTCGGTAGAGAAGTAATCAGCTTTAGGTTAGCTCGCTATTTTCTTAAGAAAACGAGTAAGCAAACACTGATATGGGCTATATTCTTTTTTTTAAAGACATTTTTATCCGTGTTCAAATAGCGTCCTCTTTCTTCCTTCCTTAGCAAAAGGAAGCCAAGGGTCTAAACAGCACATTGACAAAAGTGTTCGGCTAGGCCAACGTTTAGTGTGAGGAGAAAAACAGATTGCCCCCTTTTCATATGACTTGACAGTTAACTTTGTAAAAACACAAGTCCTGTCGAATTAACTTAACGTTAAGCAGTTCCTAAAAGATACGTAGTGCTAACTTCAGGAAAGCAAAGGGCTAACCACACCGAGCTAGCCCCTTTAGCCACTTATATACGGGCTTTTAAGCTCGCCATAGGTATTCATTCGAGGTAGGGTTGATATTTTTGCTCATTTTTTGCTCTTTTTTGCTTTTTTTAAACCAGCTAACACGTTAGCTGTGCCGAATGCTGCTTGTAGCCTTAAGCTAGCCCTCCGCTAGCCGCTCCCCTCAGACTTAGAGATGTCGAGTGTTTCCAACGAAGCGGTGATCTTAATCAAAGACGTAAAGCCGGGATCGAAAAATCTCAATATCGTTTTTATAGTTTTGGAAATAGGTAAGTTTATGTAAACTACCCAGCGTTAATGTGCCTCTCATTCTCATGATTAACTGGCTAAAAAGCTACGAGTTTTCTATTCGCCAGCTTCTTGTTCGAATTTTCCCGTTCCACCTTAAATGGTGCAGCATTAACGTTCTGGTGCCGGCGATTACTGCTGTAACTGCTGTGCCATTTAAGGTGGAACGGGAAAATTGGAACGAGAAGTTGGCGAACGAGAGGCTTAAAGCACTTCTCCTTTTTCCTGCTTCTTAAAGACACAGTGTTGTGCCGTTTGGATGACGCTTGAGTACTTTGGGGAGTTATTTTTAGCTTTTCTGTACTCCTCGCTATTAAAATGCGAGTCAGCCACGGTGTGTGCTTTCGCTTTTCCAGGTCGGGTGACCAAGACAAAGGATGGTCATGAAGTGCGCTCCTGTAAAGTGGCCGATAAAAGCGGCAGCATCGCCATCTCTGTTTGGGATGAACTGGGCAGCCTCATCCAGCCAGGGGACATTATTCGCCTTACACGAGGGTAACGACGCAGCTTGTTTCCCCTTTCATTCTGCACTTTTCTTTTGTAGGCTTAAAGGGGCGTCCGTGTTTTGGTGTGAAATGGTTCATTGTAGAGACTCAGATGTTTTTAGTGGTGGTGACAGGAACCAGTGGTCGCCCGGACCACAACACAGATATATTTGATTTACTATCCTAAACCACCAGTGAATCTGCACGTGTCTGAATTTTTATATGGAATGTTGGTGGTAAAATAGTGGTAAAACTAGATGTTTTATTGGAGACTACTTTGTCTTAACACCCTGCAAGTATCCCTCCATAATGAATGGATTTTAAAAGTACATTGTAGCCCAGATGTTCCTCAAAACTATTATAGAACAGTGTCTCTCATTAGGCAGCATTCATAATTTCTTGTAATAACTTTCTGTAAGGAAGCTTTTTTCACCACCACCACTGTAAACAATTCCGACTCAGTAAATTTCTCTAGAACTAAGCATTTCACACCAAACCACTCTGAATAACTGTTTACATCTTAACAATTGACTTGGAAAAATGTATAGTAAAAATTATAATGGTGTGACATTGTTTGATGCCCTGTATTTTTAAAAAAATAAAGGTTACTAAAACAAATTAGTTTGGATTAACAAGGTTGTACAAAATAGTGTTAAATAAAATAACTGAGTTCAAAAAAGGATGGAGTAGTTAATGTTTTTTCGTTGGAGGGGCTCAATTAATGGCTTCATTAAACACGATCCTGAGTAACTGTTAAATCCGTGTGATGATCTGGACAAGCAGGTGATGAGAGGCGGGAAAATGTTGAATTTTTTTGAATTTCTTTTAAATGCTAAGCACGTTTTTCATGATGCATGTTGAGTTACCTTATTTTCCAACTAGTAACAGTGTAAATAAGAATTTCTCTAATATGCCTTGTCATTATGTATTTGGAGTACATTACTTTGTGTGTTGTACTGGAGTATGTAACTGAATACCATTGGTGTATTCAGTATTCAAGCATCACTATTTTTACTAAGTATTTTGCACAGCCCTGCCAAAAACAGACCAGACAATGGTCTAGGAACAAGTCATTTCCTTTCTGCTTTAATGTTCCTTTTAAGTACCGTGCAGTCACAATTATGGTATATCTACAAACTTGTTTAGTACCCAATAAATTCAGGTTTTAACTGTGTTGTAGTTATGCTTCCATTTGGAAGGGATGCCTTACCCTGTACACTGGACGAGGTGGAGACCTGCAGAAAATTGGAGAGTGAGTAGAACATTAAAATAGAACTACATGGTTCAAGTTTGGTGTGTAATAACGGTCATCATTTAATTCTCTTTTCAGGTTCTGTATGGTATACTCCGAGGTTCCTAATTTCAGTGAACCAAATCCAGAGTTGCTAGCCCAAGCCAACCAGCAGAATAAGACGGTAAGGTTACCTTATCCCCTTAGACAGCAGTGTAAACTGAATGGTTATGGACACGTACTTGGGTGGCCATTAAGGTCGACTGTGATAAAGTGGTTTGTTATAAAACTGGTCTGGTTTCTTGTCTCTGTTCTCATTAGGGTAAAGAACAGCAAGGAAATTCTCCACCCAATCAAAATCTTGGTACTCCTGTTCAAGCAGGTAAGCAGTCCTAACATATCCTTCAGGAACAGTTGGTAGCATGTAGAAAGGATCAAGATGGTCTTTTATTGCTCCATTGCAATGACAGAGTATCACTGCACTGTATGTGCAGGTCAGATTCTAGATAACTAGCTCTCCACAGCACTGCAGAGATTGTTTTCTGTTTTTATCCTATAATAATGAACCTTAGCTACATTGTTTAAGTTGTTAATTGAAGTAAATAAGCTCTGTAGTGCTATGGTCCTCTAGGACAACCCCTGAGGTAAACAGATTTGTTGTGCTAGACTCACCCAGAACACCTTTGATTCACAGGAAATGGTGCCCCTGCACCACCTAACTTCGGGGCTCCGGGAAGAACAAATGGACGCGTTCCTGGCAACGGTCCCCCTCCTCCAGTGACTGTAGGGGGACCTCCGGCCCCTCCTAAACCATCTGTCACCATCAGCAATGGCAGGGACCCCCGACGTGCTTCGAAGAGATGAGACACTGATTGCAAAACCACTGTCCCGCCCTCCCAACAGCCCCTCTGTGCACACAAAGCTTGAATATTTCTGCAATGTAACTGCCAATCAAGGGATGCAAAGTCTTAGTCAATCTGCTGGATGTAGACTTTGGCCTCTTATTTCACCTAGAACTGTATTAGCAAAAATGGCTAATGGTTTCTGAAGAACAGTTATGCCAATTTTTTATTATTTTTATAAATCACCCTTTTCTTTCCGTGTAGTGCAGGACTCCCTATATGCCCCTCTGCATCCCTTCCCGAATTGTGTTTGAAACTATACACCCTACTTGAACACTTGATGCACTTTCTTCAATTAATTTATAGTAAACACATTACTGTCATGTAATTCAGGAATGGTTGAAACTGCTGTTTGCAAATAGGCAGGCAGAAACTGGTGGCTGCCTTTTTTCTTCATGGGTTTTTGCCCTTTGGCCAAAAAAAGTACCAAAAGTGACTGTGTGAAAGCGGTGATAGTTTGACACATAGGTTTATTTAATTAGGAATAAAACTAGAAATTAACAAACTGTGTAACCCTGTGGTCTGTTTGTCCTGTCTCCCACCACACATGAACACAAAAAATGCTGGCCTATAACTCAGAGCCCAAATGGGTGTGTAACCACAAGATGATGAAATGGGAGTATGACTTGCCAGTTATGGCAGGCAGACACAAATGAAATACTCTGTTTACCGTTGCCTGTGGGCATTGGACCTTCTACTGAATAGTCCAATGAGTCAGCAGGCATCCTTTTTCATGAAATCTACAGGAAGCCTCCACCCACACAAACAAGACCGATACTGTAGAACATTGTCCCTAACAAGTCCCCAATACAGTATCACTAAGCACAGTAGGCCAGCAATTAAAACTAAATGCTAAATAACAGACACTGCTTTGCTTCCTTTTCTTCCCTTGAACATACTAAAAGTGCTGAATCATTACATTTGTGGTTCATAAGAACACTCCTTCACTACATACATGAAAGTTGAAATACCTGTCTGCCTAACTACTTGCTAAACCAAAAATTGGGTCAGGTGCCACATTTTGGCCTTTTGTGACATCTAACACCACTGCGTGTAATTTTCATGTACAGGCCACTGACTAAAATAAAAATAAAAAAACATTAGCATGATATCAAATATATTTGTAACAGGTACAGCAAATTCATTGGGCAAAAACACTGTACTTCCTAATGTATAATTGACATTGAAAGATCAGTGTGTTATGTTGATCAAAAATACTTCTTTACAATATATATAAAAAAAATTAACATTTTTCAAATTATATTTGAATATTTTATCAAATGTATTTGAAAATTGTTGCTTGTTATAAATGTCATTATCTATTAATGATAGAAATACCTTTTAAAAGGTATTTTTAAAAAAATGTTGAAATATATTTTTTATATTTATACTAAAATTTAGAAGATTAACATTCACATTGTGTTGCACATATTTCTTAATACTGTTGCAGGACACAGTTTTACACTGCATGTCTGTATAAAAAAAAAAAAAAACTATGATTTGTTGTAAAAGCATTGCAATTACATTCGCACGCTGTGCAACATCTTCCAGAACTCCCCAATATCCTGAGACAGCGCCATCTCAGCCAGTCCCTTGCACTCAAGTGGTGTGAAACCCACCAAGGCTGTACCTTTGGTAGCCACCCCATGTCGGCCAGCCAACTCCGTTACATGGGCAGTGATTAGTGAAGCTGGGGCATGATAGAAGTTCTGACCCCCAGTGTTGAACGCTGGCCATGGTTCCATGCCAGCAGCCAGATCAGATGGAGGGCCTTCCGGAACACTTTCTACATTGCAGGCGATTTCTATAGTACCCTCATGGGGCAGGGCCATGACCTGGACACCCTGAATACCCCCTGGACTGGACTCTCGGATGGCTGCAGCAACGCCCCGGCCTAGGACAAGGTCCTGGGTGTCGATGGTTACATTGCAGTTCATCACATAAGGGCTGGCACCAATACCTACAGAGAGAGAATCAAGGTTTTAGCGATAAACACGCGTTAGGTTTTACCTTCCTGAAGCTTTCACTTCTAACTCAAACCTAACATACTTCTTTCACCTAATCAAGGACTTCTGAAGGCAATACCTAGATGGATCAGGTGGTGTCGATTAGGGTTGGAGCTAAAGTCTGCAAGAAGGTAGATTTCCAGAGGCAGGTGGCCACTACTCTAATCCAGTGGTCACCAACCCTCTTGGAGATTTACCTTCCTGCAGGAAGGTACCCAAATGTAACACCTGATGAATCTAATCAAGATTTTCTGACTACAATATTCAGGTAGATCAGATGAGGTCTATTATAGATAGGGCCAAAGTCTGCAGGAAGGTAGATCTTTGGGAACAGGGTCGGTGCTCTAATCTATAATCAAGCCAATTCTCTTTAGAAAGGAAAGCAGATCTCTGGCAGGAGAATCAGAGAGCAGTGCAGTGGAGATCTTTACACATGTCTAACATGACTGAGCTAAAACAGGTCTTCTAAAGTATCTGAACATACACCTGTTAGTCCATATTGTCTTGTAGGTTGTGGTCCAATGTCTGGCTGAATGGCAGCTACGTTTGGAACCTTCCGGAACCATCCCATCTCCTTTCTCCTCTGAGCAAGACCGCGGCGCAATGGTGCATCAGCCCAGCCAAAGAAAAATGCACTGGTGCCTAGCACTCGTTCGGTGAGAGCAGCAGCTAGAGCTGAGCAGGAAAATGGCAAGACAAAGGCATAGACATTAGCTAAACCAGTGGTCACCAACCCTGCTCTTAGAGATCTACCTTCCCGCAGAGTTTAGCTCCAACTAACTGTCCCTCCAATCTCAAAATGTTGTGCACCGTTTTGCTGCATGTTACATCAACATGATCCAAATCAGTGTGCAGCAGGCTTTGAAGTACCTTTTCCCCTTTTTGATGGGTGTGTCAGAGGTGTTACCCAATCAGTAATGACATGTATATAAACCCTACCATATTAAAAAGGCAGTGCACACAATGGATTCTAATGAAGTCCTCTACAAATGCAGCTGCTGCAGCTTGGTGTACACAACCACTGAAGATGTTATGACAGATGTTTTTTGTAAATATTATATTTAAACCCATTTCATCAGGCTCTGAAAATACTTCAAAAAGGACACCAAGAAAACATTTTGTCAGGGCTGAACGCAGCCCAGATCTACCTGCATATGGTATGTTAGATTTGTGTTAGAGGTGAAATCTACAGGTACGTAGATCTCCAGGAGGAGGGAACCAATGAGACATTTTAATAGGCAAGATAAAGTCTTGGCACAGACACACTTGACATAATGCACCATGTCTTACCTTGGGCCTCCCTCCCACAATCCTTCAAATTCACCTCCTCTCCAAGAGGGTAGAGGGGTATGAGGTCCACAGCTCCCATGCAGGGATGAATGCCTTCATGCTCATTCATATCAATCAATGAGCATGCCTGCTCACATGCGGAGAGAACTGCCTCTTCTAATACAGTACAAACCACAAATATGGATGATTGTTGAAGGCATCTTAGCAAGTGAAAACATCCTAAATAGCCAATCTATCTAATATTTCTCATAATAACTGTTGCAAGAATAATACAATATTATTTAACTTATATCTAATTTTTTTCCTTTTAGTAATTTTATCTTATGAAAGTATCTTATTCCATTGACCATTTTCATCATGATCATTTTACTTGTTTTTTGGATTTTTTTCTTGAAATAAGCAAAATTATCTGCATCATTTCTCAAAAACAAGCAAAATTAGCTGCCAATAAAATAAGACATTCACTAAAAATACTCGAAACAAGTAAGAACAGAATGCAGAATGTTGTCCTTTTCTTTCATCAACAATATATTGCCAGTGAATGTTATTGTATCATCCCTTCAATTTCTGCACCACACTGCACAAAATGAAATCTTAGCAAGTGAAAACATCTTAAATGTAGCTAATATATCCAATATGTCTTATAATGAGATTGGAATATTATAAGATTATTCAACCTGTTTCTAGACATTTTTCATTTGTTTTAAGTCATTTCATGTAGTGAAAGTGTCTTATTTTAATGGCATCTAATTTTACTTGTTTCAAACAATGATGAAAATAATTTTGCTTATTTTAAGAAATATTGCTTAGAACAAGCAAAATTATCTGCCAATGGAATAAGACATTTGCATAAGATAAAATTATCTAAAATAATTTTTCAAAAGTCTAGAAATAAGTGAGATAATACTGCAAAATTCTACCACAATTTCGATGAGAAATAACAGTTATATCATCTACATTTAAGATGTTTTCACTTGTTTGGATTTAATTTTTAGGAGTTGTATAACATAAAATTCTGCCACAGAATTTGTCCAAGATTTTATTTGCAGCATGTCATGTGGAGTGACGTACAATAAAAGTGCAAGTTCACTGTAGGCTGTGCTCAAACAGCAGTCTTGTACGTATGCTTTAAGCATTTTCCTTCTCTAAAGTGATGTACTACTGAGTGAAATATTAACTCTAGTGAACTAACAGGAACTAACAAGGTCAGAAAGGTAATTTCAGGTTGAGAAAACACATTCAGACAACTTACTGATAAGCTCAATGCTGGCCACAATCGTGATGACAGATCGGTTATAGTCGTAGTCACTGAAGATATTGAGAACTGTCGTGCCTTTCCGTCTTCCTCCTGACAATGTTAAGATTAGAAATGTTGGAAAGGTTCGCAGTCTTTCTGTCATTGCTAAATAGTAGTACATTAACCTCACCATGATTATCAGTGATAGCTGCTCGGGCCACCTTCTCCACTAAACCTCTCCGCCGGGCCTCAGAGATGTTAAGGAGACAGGCAACCAGATGTCGACCAAGAGCGGAGGCCATTTCTACAACAAATGATAATGTGATTTACTTTCAAAGTTGTTTCATTAATACATTTAAATTGAACAAATTGTGACAAAGATAAAGGGGAATTCCACTGATTTTTCAAAATATTTGCATAATTCTGTTCTTGTGATGTAAACAGTGTTTTGGTGTGAAATGATTCATTGGAGAGGGGTCGCCAAGTTTATAGCACAAATATTGCCATTTCATTCACTATCCAAACCCACCAGTGAACCTACAAGTGTCTTCTGAGGTTTTATATGGAATGTTGATGATAATAGAGGAAAATCTGATTATATATATATATATATATATATATATATATATATATATATACAAAGGATGGCACTGCAGTGCTGAGAATGATCCTCCACCCAAATAATACCTGTTCTTTGGTGGTCTTGTGGGTGCCCTGACCATTGAAGAACAGAGTGAAAGGGGGCTAACAAATTATGCAGAGAAACAGATGGACCGTGTGTGAAAATGTGTTGCTTGTTGGGCCGGAAAGATTTGGGGACAATTAAAGCAACATTATGTAACAATTTTACCTTAAAACAGCTTCAAAATCAGGTACACCGACTTATAATAGGAAGAATGGCATCTCTGTCATTGCTGTTCTGGGTCCGGAACGCCTGCTACAGAGCTATGTATCTTTGGAGGAGCGGGCACTAAAGCTTTCACGAGAACTGTGTAACACTTTACAGCACCATGTCACAGCTGTTGTCTTCAGCTAGCTATAAGAAGTTAGCTTGGTATTCCCAGCATGGACATCATGGCAGAGGCTGCTTAGAGACCAAAGAAGACACTGTCTGAGGTAGCAAGAAAGAGAAAAAAAGTGAGTGACCGAGCAAGAGACCAGACAAGAGCAAATCTCGGACTGGCTTTTACTTGTTGGCAAGAGCTAGAAGAGATAAAAGCATGCAAGACGGCTAACGGGAAACCACCGAAAATCCTACAGCAGAGTGCACGTCGCTACGAAAGTTATTTATGAAAGACTATGATGTATGCTGTAACTTTTCCCATCCCTGTCTCAGTTTTGTAGTTTTTCCGGATGTGTTGTATTGTGCTAATCACACTTACTTTTGCTTGGAAAGTTATGGCACAGGTAAATCTGTCGATATTTTTTAACCATTTCAAGTCTTGTATTCTGACAGTGTTTTTGAGGAATATACACCGATCAGCCATAACATAAAAACAACTCCTTGTATTTAAGCTGTGTTCATTTTACTTATTTTACTTACTTATATAGGAGCACTTTGTAGATCTACAATTGCAGACTGTAGTGTTCGTCCCCTTTTATCCTGTTCTTCAAAGGTCAGGACCCCGAATAGGTCCACCACAGAACAGGTATAATTTGGGTGGTGGATCATTCTCAGCACTGCGGTGACACTTACGTGGTCGTAGTGGTGGTATTGTGTTAAAGCCACTTTTCCACTGCATGGTACGGTACGGCTCGACTCTACTCGCTTTTGGTACCAGCTACTTCTATGGAGTTAGTTTTGTGCCAAAAGCTTCAAATAAAATGATAAAATCCACAAAGTGGTTTCTCTGCATGTTACTTGCATTTGCACCTTACCAGTAAGACACCCTGCGGCCCGTGCATTCACACAGATACACGTCAGATTAACAACCTCTCGGCGTCAGAGTCTAAACTTTTTTGCAGATTTATAAATCACAGACGTCGCCGCTGCGCTTAAACATGCACATCTGCACATGCCTTGTATGTCAGACCTATGGCGGGCCCCAATGTCCGCGCATGCGCAAGTTTCATATTCGTGTTGTTCGCGAACGAGTCGACTCTTTGAACCGGATCTTTTAGGCGTTTGGAGCCGACTCGTACTGAGGAGGCTTTTTTGGTAAATTACCACCAAAACCACCAGTGAATCTACACGTCTTCTGAGCAGTCTTTGTAGTACGCAAAGGTTTGCGGCCATCTAGAGCCCCCATTAGCCAAGGGCCCCATGAAAATACAGTTTAGATATACCGCACGTGCTGATGTTAAATAACCTAGTCCAAAATGTATATACATTTTGAAAACAGCTCTTATTTGTGATTTTTTCAGTAATTGCAGCACAGCCCCACCTCCTGGACATGGTTAAAATGGTCTACTCCATGTTGTTACGTGAAGACACAACCTCATAAAGACAGATTGGAATGAACAAGGTGATTTACATTTCAGTGTTATTTGAATTTTGCAACTGATATGCTTCCATACAGCAGTACATACTGCTAGTGTTAATATTAATATAAAAAGCTTCAGTGTTGAGATAATTACTAAAAAAATAATCTGTTACAAGTTGCTAATTACTTCTCTCAAAATGCTATGGGATTATATTACTGATTACTTCCTGGAAAATGTAATCTAACTACTCGTGACTTCTACTCTGTACCAAATTATTTCACTACACTGGCAGATACTTTTGCTTATTTCATGAACATTTCTTAAAATAAGCAAAATGATTTGCCAGACTAGTAAAATGATTTCACATAATAAAATTAAATGTCTAGAAATAACTTAAATACTCATATAATATTCTTGCAACAATCTCTAAATAAGCAATATTATATATAACCACTAGATTTAAGATGATTTCATTTGCCAAAATAATTGTTTTCTTTGTGGACAGTTGGGGGGCACTTTTGCCTAAGGCCCCAGAATCACTAAATCTGCCTGTTTTTGAGTAGCTACAGATTACAGTGATATGATGATAAATTCATAGATTATAGGATTTTAGGATATCAGGTAGCTTGACAAATGATTACAGCTGATTAATGGTTCAACACATTTTACTGTCAGAATTCAAACAATTTCACATATTTCACTTGATGGGGCTGCTTAAGAGAGCTCGGAGTGATGTACTGAGAAAATCATTACTGTAATCAAAATTGAATAATAAACCATTATTAGCCAGTTAAACAGATTTAAAGAAAGATTTTCCTTTCAGAGCAGCTGAACATTATCTTTTTTCTCTCTCCATATGGCTGAACTTGGCTCTTTTGCCAGTTTCTTATTTGAATTTTCTGTTCCAGAAAAGTACTAAAGTACTTGCAGTAGTACTAAATGTACTTGCAGCACCATTTAAGGTGGAAGGGAAATTTTAAATCAAAAAGCAGACAACAGTTTGTAAAAAAAATGTAGTTTACTGCTGTTTTTTGTTATCTCTCCTTGTACAGTTTTAAATCTGTGTATGTTGCGACCCTAATCATGGAAAAATTAAGAGTTCTTTAGAGTGCAGAGCAGTGCACTGTAGAAGCAGACATTTATATTGGCGGCTGGTGAGCAGCACTGGATTATAGTAAAGCTGGTAAACAAACAAACTCAACACGTTTCAGTCAGAATGTGCCCGGAATCGAAGCCTGTTTCTGCCACTGGAGAAAAATATGTAGCCATTTGGTAAGTCATGAGAAAGTTTCCTATAATTATGACTTATTATCTCATAATTCTGACTTACTTTCTCATTGTTATGACATAGCATCTCATAATAATGACTTAGCATCTCATAATTATGATGTAGCGTCTCATAATTATGACTTACATTCTCATTATTATGACATAGCATTTCACAATAATGAGAATCAAACTTATAATTAGGACTTAATATCTCATAATTAAGACTTAGCATCGCATAATATTGACTTCTCATATTTGTGAGAGAATCTTAATTTATGAGATACTAAATCATAGTAATCCTAATTATGAGATAATAAGTCATAATTATGAGTATTACGTCATAGTTATGGAAAACTTTCACTTACCAAATGGCTATATTTGTTTCTCCAGTGGCGGAAACGGGATTGAACTGATTACAAAGGCTATGTTTACATGCAAAGATTTTTGCCAGTCCAACTGGTTATACTCCGATTATAGATTAAGACTCTCCAGAACAATCTGATGGAAAATCTCCGTTTACATGCACACAAGTAACGTGCGTAGAGCATCACTTAGTGTAGACGTTACCATGACAACGAGCAGCACGTGATTATTTACAGGATTACCCACCTCGTTTAATCGGATAGGAATTGTGTTCCGAATGGCCTCAATACTACTTGTCGACTAGTCTATTCCGATTGAGGTGTATACATGGACGTATTCTATTCTGACTTTGCTATTAGTTGGATTATTAACGGATTATCAGGCTGCATTTAAACGTGGCTGATGAAAAAACACGGAGTCGAAGTGTCGACTCCAAGCGTTTCGGCCCTGACTCCCAGACACGATGGAGAAGAAGAAACGGCTCCTTTGGAATCGACTCCCCATCACTAGATAAGACTAGACTAGACCACTAGACTGGTTTGTTTAGGTTTTATCTCACAGCGCCGATTAGCGGCGTAAAAATACAAATAAAAAACAATACATTTTCAACAAATGGCGCTTACTGTATAAAATAAACAACAAACTAAACGAGCTATTTTTGGAGTGAGATGATAATGTATGTCCCGAACAGACCGTTTTCACAGCTACTGGTTAGGACGGCTTCTGCAGGAGAGCCAGGCGGAGCGGAGCAGCGATGATGATGTGTAGACGGGTTTAGCTTCACTCCGCCAACGTTACCGCCCATGATAAGCCTCCGCTCGCTGTCTGCCGGGTTGTCGCTTTTTGCCGTGGCTCATATGTCGAGCGTCGCCTCGGGAGGAGGCGGGATGGAGCCCACGGGGAGCCCTGCTCCTCCTCCGCGTCGGCTCCTGCGGCTAGCCTCGGTCCCGGGCTTCGAGCAGCACCGCCTCAACGACCTGCTATTGCTGAGTCCCGAAGGCCCGCGGAGCCAGAACGACCATGTCGTCTTCTTCCCCGGGGACATCCAGGTTGGTTTTTAGTGTATTTTGCTGTTGTTTTTGGCTTTCTTTGCATTTTTGCTACACCAATCTGCGTTAATTCGCCGTTCATTTTGGATGCAAACGGCTAACGTTAGCGCTAGCGCTTTAGCACGAACGCTAGTAACGCTAACGCATACACCGGTAGGCTAATTAACGTTATATTGATTTATTTACCTATAAAAGAGTCTTAAGGCCGTGCTGGAGCTGAGGTGAACACACTTCTGACCCACAACCTGACAAAATTTCGGATCGAATCATTTGATATAGCTAGCAAGATTAGATTCGGTGTACGCGCTTGTTCGAATTTTTCCGTTCCACCTTAAATGGTGCAGCAATTACACAGGAAAATTCGAACAATAAGCTGGCAAATAAGAAGCCAACTTCAGCCTCGTTGTCTATGTTTTGGCACCCTAGCATTAAAAACTGGTGTAATAACAGATTTATTCGCACCTTTCCGTCCCAGGTTAGTGTTATATTACCATAGGGATATATTATGGTTTAACGTTACCCTCACTATGCATCTGCTCTGTGTTCTTTAGTTAGCTGTGGTTTAGTTTAGCTCTGGTTGTGGTGATACGTGTATACGTTAGTTGGCCTCCTACATGTTGTTCTAGAATAAATAGCATCTTAAAATTAAAGAGAAATTGCACTAAATTATTTTTTTTAAATGCTTCAAAATTCAGTGGTTGAGATGCTAACAAAGTCATTCGGAGTGTTTGTACATACTTAAAAAATGTGGTTCTTTAAAGGTTCTTCAGTCAAGACAAACCATTTCATCTGTAAATGGTTCTTCAGATTGATGGATAGTGTGTTCTGCCTTTTTGAAAATGGCTCTATATAGGCTATATAGCACTACATTGTTACAAGCTTGATATCGTCACACTGGGAGAACCCTTTTTGGTGCAATGTAGAACCATATTCAACACATTCTCCATTAGTCTCAAGAATGATATCAGCGTGCAAAGAACCATTGAAAGAAATGGTCCTATATGGAACTTATGGTTATAAGTAGAACCGTTGCCTTTACTAAAGAACCCTTGAAGAACCATCTTTTTTTTAACTGTGAAGAGAAGCCTACAGATTTGGATTTCTTTACAGCGGAGGCTATAGGAACCAGGGATCACCATGTCTACAGCACAAATATAGCCACTTTATTGACTATCCAAAACCACCAGTGAACCTACACGTTTTCTTGAGTTTTTATGTGGAATGTTGATAATGGAAAAATAGTGAAAAATCTGAAAAAAATTAATTGCACCAAGCATGAGATTAATGTTTTTCAAAAATAAATTTTAGGCCGAAACATTCTCAACATTATTGTAAAACAACGTCTCAGGCAGCGTATTTGTAACCATTTCATGTAATAACTTTCTGAGAGAGCTTTTAGATGATTGAACTGTTCTGATGTCCGATTCCTATCACCACCACTGTGAACAACTCTGATTCTGCAAGCTTCTCTAGAACAAAGCACTTCACACCAAACCATTCTGAATGTCTGAATGTAAGAAATATTGTGATTTCCCTTTAACAGTCTTTTCTGCGTTGAAGTCAATGAGCAGCAAAAACTATAACTTAGGCCCAAGGACTATGATTTAGACCAATATTTAGTGAAAAGTACATGTAAGAGGTGTAAAACTTCTCTCTCCCTCTCCTTCAGAACTTCCAGCAAGAAATGGCGCTCCAGCCCGAAGCTGCCCCTTGGCAGTGCTGGAACTTGGAGCGTGTGGCCGTCATGCTGGGTGTCCGCTTCCCTGGCTGTCACATCTGGGTGGTCCGCGCATCTCGCATGTACTTACATAAGTTCAGCTGCTACCAGAACTTCGTGGAGAGCAACCTGTTTGGAGCTCCAGAGCACTCTCCGGACTATGGGGCCCTGCGCCACCTGAGAGGCCTCCTGGGCCATGGCATGGAGCGGGCGGGCCTCCCAAACCCTCTGCCACCTCTAGGAGGTGCTGCACCTCTCCCTCAGGGTTTCTCCCTGACCTTGGTGGGCTTCAGCAAGGGATGCGTGGTGCTCAACCAGATTGTGTATGAGCTGGCGGGTGCCAGGGTCGACCTGGAGTTGAGGCTGTTTCTTGAGAGCATCTCAGATATGTACTGGCTGGACGGTGGGCACCCTGGAGGAAGCGAGACATGGGTGACTGACAAACGGGCACTCGGAGAACTGGCAGCCTGCGGAGTGGCCGTGCATGCCCACGTCACGCCCTACGAAGTGCGGGACCCCATGCGGGCTTGGGTGGGTCGGGAGCACCGGTGTTTCATTAAGACACTTGAGGAGCTCAACACCTGCATCACCCACAAGTTGCACTTTGAGGACGAGCCGGCGTCCATTGAAAACCACTTTCGGGTCATAAAGGAGTTCTGATTATTGTCCCAGACCTCTTTTTTAAGCTTTAAAGCAATGATTTGGCAAAAAAACTGAATTTTACCAAATTATACCCAAAAATAGTCAGTCCACCAAGACATATGTGGTGTCCTTAGTTTGCTTATTTAGTTTTGCAATGGAGCCACGAGGCCCACAAAGCCTTATGAAGCTTGTTCAAATTGAAGCACAGGCAAGGTACAGTTTTATTTTTAGCTCCAGTGCAAAGCTAAAGTTGCAAACTCTGAACACAAACATGTCTTGGCTGAGTGATCACATTTGGACGAAGGGGAAATGTGTGTAAATTCGATTTTTCGCTGAACTTGCTTTGACATGGAATGTATTTTGCCGCCAAGCACAAGAGAATTGTTCGTGTTGCACAGCTACAGCTTCTTACGAAGGCTGCTTCCTCAAATAAGGACAATTAAAAAGCAAGGCATTGAGACCAAATCTCTGCATAAAGAGCAAATACTTTGCATAATACTATCACATGACTGTGAAATGAGACTTTTGGAACTGTTTGACTTTTTCCGCATATGCCTGAAAGACACATATACCAACATGTGGAGCTAAATGTGCTAACAGCTCAGCTTAAATGTAAATACTTAATTGTGAAGTTTATCCTTGTTTCTGCTGCCTTCATGCACAGACATCCTTTGTTCTTCAGCTGTGACGCACCTGAATGTAAAACTCTGCCTCACAAAAAGCTGAAGAATGCTTTTGGGTTAGTTCTCTTGGGTGAATCTCAAACAGCTCCCTACTCCCTATGTACTGCACTGCACGGGTCATAAAACTTTGGCTTCTATAACCGAATAATGCATTAAATGTTAACTGGAGAGTTACACAGCTTGTGGCTGAATATAAATGGCTTTTTGTTTGACATATAATGCACTGTTTGAGTGCAGAAGCCTTTATTTCACGGCCTACATAGTGCATTGCATAAGGCGTAGGGAGCTGTTAGGGATTCAGCCTTAGGATACTTATCTTAGATAAGCTTTTCAGTATTATCACTGCTGTAAAAAATAGTTGCAGCTGGACAGATGCTGTCCTTGAATATAATGCTAGCATGCAGTTTTGCTCTGTTGTTGTCATTCATGACCTTATTGCAGGTTAAATTATGAATCATTCACTAAATTTGTTGGATTAGAGACCAATGCACTTTTTAACATGAGCATATGGCCTGTGATTTGGCCTGGTTGTTTCTTCACTGACTGTCTTAATGAAATAGAAATCTGTAATCTCTTTGCTTGAATGCCAAAATTATGTCTGTAATTATTATAGAGCTACAACGGTTTCTCTGGCTGAGACTAAATGGCTGTTTACTAGGCACTCGTTTAAAAGACGTGTAGTATATACTTTATGTAGGATTCTAGGAATAGAAAGCAAGACAATTTTGGATTTCCTGCTTGAGTACAATGAATTCATTGAATGTATTTCATGTTTTGTATCATTCCGCACATTTGCAAATGCTATTTTTCCCTAATTCAGAATTGCTCGTTATGTTCTGTTACTTGATGATGAAGTAAAATCAGTTTAAATTATTACACATGGGGCTCTTTGCTGTATTTCACTCTCTATGCAGAGCTGTTCAAGATGCAGAACTGGCATAATATGGGCTTTGGCGCTGACTGAACTGGTGCTTTTAAGGAAAAATGACATCAATTCTTGTCTTGCATCCACAAGCAGGCAGGATTACATCAAATGCTTTGTGAACCAGGAGCCGTATTACAGAAAATCTCTATCTTTTGGTCTTAAGTTAAGATCTGAAAGGTCAGGATAATTTTTTTTCACAAATTCATATTAAAAAAGCAAATCTTAAAGAATTTACAGCATCTCAAGTTGAGGAAATCCTAAACTACTCGATCAGAGTCGACCATTAACTGTCATGCCTGTTACTACACAATCTGTGCACAGCTGAAACGTAAACACGTGTAAAAAATGTTAGGTATAGATACCGATACTGATGTAAAAGTCATAAAACTGATGCTGGCCTTTCAAAAGATTTCACTGTCACAGACAAATGTATAATGTCCAAATAAAACCATGAGAGTTTTACTAGAATTGTGGTGCGCTCCTGTCATCTCGATCATTTGGTGTAAGGTGGTAAGGATAGCTATCTTAAGTCTTTTTCCCCGTTTTGATGTTCTGATAAAATCACCTGTGTGATTTTTAGTCTTTACGTTTTTAGTCTGGGCGGCACGGTGGCGCAGTGGGTAGCGCTGTCGCCTCACAGCAAGAATGGCCTGGGTTTGATTCCCGGCCGGGCGACCAGGGTCATTTCTGTGTGGAGTTTGCCTGTTCTCCCCGTGTCTGCGTGGGTTTCCTCCGGGTACTCCGGTTTCCTCCCACAGTCCAAAGACATGCAGTCAGGCCGATTGGACATGCTAAAATTGCCCCTAGGTGTGAGTGTGAGTGTGTGTGTGTGACTGTGTATGTCTGTCTGTCTGCCCTGCGATGGACTGGCGACCTGTCCAGGGTGTATCCTGCCTTCCGCCCAGTGACAGCTGGGATAGGCTCCAGCACCCCACCGTGACCCAGAAGGATAAGCGGTTTAGATGATGTATGTATGTAAGTTTTTAGTCTTGGCTCATGCAAATAGTCTGTGACTAAAACTCTTGTCTTTTATATGTGACAGGGTGTCAGACTTTAGTCTTAAAAAGTCTTCTGAAAGTTTTTGCAAAGTCTTCTAATGTATGGTTAGCATCAATTGCATTAACCTGGAAGTTATCAATATTGTGAAAGCGCCACCTGCTGTTTATCGGAGTGTCACCGCTCCTCACTTTCAGTTTCCATTTCCCAAAAGCTTTAGCTGACCGCACTAACCTTATTCCTCCTAATAAACGGACACGTTCTCCTAATTATTTACCACCATCACTGTGGCATGTTATTTGACGAGTTTTCGTCAACATTAACAAACAAAGTGAATCAACGTTTTGCAATGTACATAAATGTTTTGTAATGATGATAATAGAAAACTATGCTGCCTGTAACAGCTGCAGACTGTTGGGGTTTATATTAAAAAGTTAGAAAAGTATTGAGGAGATTTAGGCCAGTTAGAGTGTTTTTGTAATACTGTTTTTGTATTTGGAATTAATGGATAAGATTAAAAAGGTAGAAATGTAATAGGTACATTCAGTCCTAACTGAAGTTGTCATGGTGATTTAAACAGAAAAGATTTTAGAGTTAAGATGTTTCTGTAATACTGATGTCTCTCCAGTGCTGACCTGATTTCCTTATTTGACAACCACCAACACAAACCAGTGACGTAGCGAGCAAGAACGCGGAAACCTCAGCATCTACAAATTTCAAGATGCAACATGATTACATGTGCATGTTGTCTCGCAGCTTTTGGCTGTAAACTATCTTTCTAGTCTGGACATGCCACCGATGGGAATGTTGTATTAGGGCCAAGCTAACTGGCATACATTCAGTTTCCCTCACAGAGTTCAACACTACTTATGGCAGTAACTCCAGTTTAAATGCTGACATTTGAAGCTTTCAAGACATGCAAGAAATTCTTTATTTCAGTTTTCAGTGTATCCTTTAGTAAACGTTTCAGCCCATACTCTGAATATTACGTACTGGAGGAGTCTGTTTGCTTGCTGTCTGCCAAGCTGGGAGTTCACATGCATTTTTTAAATACCCAGGTGACTCTGGGGCTCTAGGCAACAGACAGGAATGGGGCCCCCTGGATGCAAATTTTTAAATTAGTTCAGTCAAAAGTGCTATCTTAGCATGTGAAATTGTCTTAAATCAAGTTGATGTATCAAATAATTCTCACATTGAGATTGTTGAAAGATTATTATACAACCCCATTTCCAAAAAAGTTTGGATGCAATGTAAATAAAAATAGAATGCAGTGATGTGCAAATCATCTAAACCATATTTTTAAAGGAAAATACTACAAAGACAACATATCAAATGTTGAAACTGGGAAAATTTTTTTTTTTTAATATGTGCCCATTTTGAATTTGATGCCAACAACATGTTCCAAAAAAGTTGGGAGAGGGGCATGTTTACCACTGTGTTTCATCATCTATTCTGTTAACTAACTCTAAGCTTTTGGTAACCGAAGAGATCAATTGCTGTAGTTTTGAAAGTGAAATGTTTTCTCATTCTTCTTTGATATAGGATTTCAGCTGCTCAACAGTTCAGGGTCTCCTCTGTTGTATTTTTCATTTCATAATGTGCCAAATGTTTTCAATAGGTGACAGATCTGGACTGCAGGCAGGCCAGTTTAGCACTCAGATTCTTTGAAAAACAAGCATTGTCTTGCTGAAATAAGCAAGGCCTTCCCTGAAAAAGACATTGCCTTTATGGGAGCATATGTTTCCAAAACATGTATATATTATTCAGCATTAATGGTGCCTTCACAGATCTGCATGTCACCCATGCCATGTGCACTAATGCCCCCCTACACCATCATGAATACTGGCTTTTGAACTGTGCACTGATAACAAGCTGAGTGGCCTTTAGCCCGGAGGACACAGTGTCCATGATTTCCAAAAAGAATTTCAAATGTTGATTTGTCGGACCACAGGACACTTTTCCACTTCCCCTCGGTCCATTTTAAATGAGCTTGGGCCCAGAGAAGGTGGCAGCGTTTCTGGATCCTGTTTATGTACGTATTTGCATTTTAGAGTTTTGACTTGCATTTGTGGTTGCAGTGATGAACTGTTTTCACAGAAAGTGGTTTTCAGAAGTGTTCCTGAGCCCATGCAGTGATTTCCTCTACAGAATCATGTCTGTTTTTAATGCAGTGCTGCCTGAGTGCCCATAGATCATGGCCAGCAAATACTGGTTTTTGGCCTTGTCTGTTACATAGAGATTTCTCCAGATTCTCTGAATCTTTTTAATGATGTTATGTACTGTAGATGATGAAAAGCAAAAGTTATTTGCTATTTTGAGAAACATTATTCTTGAATTGTTGCACTATTGTTTGATCGTGCAGTCTTTCAGAGTGGTGAACCCCTCCTCATCTCTGGGATGCTCTTTTATACCCAAACATGTTACTACCCTGTTGCGAATTAATAACGAGGTGTTTTTTAACATTACACAACTTTACCAGCCTTTTGGGACATGTTGTTGGCATCAAATTCAACATGGGCATTTTTTTTGCAAGAAACAATAAAATATCTCAGTTTCAACATTTGATTTGTTGTCTTTGTACTACTTTCTCTGAAATATAGGACTTAAATGATTTATACACCATTGTATTTTGTTTTTATTTACAGTATGCACAACGTCAGTTTTTATCACATAACAACATGGAATAGTATATTACAACCATTGTTGGGGCTGACGAGGTGCATTGTAATTACTTAAAAGAATCGCAACAATTGCAAACAGCTATTTTAAAATGTGTATATAAATATTTCATAATAGGTTGTTGAACATCAACACTTACAGTATATCTAATCTGTTTTTTCATGGAGTCTTTGGCTCATAGGAGCTCTAGGCAGCTGCCTACCTTTGCCTAGTGCAAAAGCCGCTGAAAGATAAGCTCAATATCCATATATATACAAACAAGAATGCCCATTCCTATGAAACCCTGGATAGTTGCCTAGATTAGGCCAAATGTCAGTTACTCTCATAACTAAGCAACTGAATAATCTTTTTTCTACAGATGCCAATTGTCAGAACTCAAAGGTGCAGTGTGTAAGATTTAGTGGCATCTAGCGGTGAGGTTGAAGATTCCAACCAACTGAATACGCCTCCCTTACCTCTTCCTTTCCAAGTGTGTAGTAGAACATATGGTGGCTGTGGGGTAGATTTGTATGCTAAATGTTCTGTCCAGCAGAAAAGGCTGACCGGGATTCATCCTCTCTTGCTTTTTCTTGTGGTAAATAAAAGTATTTGGGTTCTCCTCACAACATAGTTAGCCAACACTGGCAGGAACCACTGTAAAAAGACTACTGAGCACTGGTCCAACCAGTGCTACAGCGCCACCAAACTCAAGCTGCTGTTTCAACATAAAAATACAAGGCCTTTTTGTCTTAACACGTCATTTATGTTTGATTCTTGGTCAGTTAGTTACTTTTACAATAGAAGGTCAGTGGTGGGTAAGATTGGAGCGTAAAGTAATTCTAGAAATCTGTGGCCCAGCAGCTTGTGGTTTCAACTGGTCTACCAATCTAATAAGTAACAATGATTTCTATTTAACATTTCACACACTGTTTTGCACTAAATCTAATTAAACAGGACTAATTATGCTCTCTTTTTAGTCAAACATGCAGTTGGAAAGTGATTTTTTTAATATTGAACATACTGTGCATCAAGAAAATGTCTCTGTAACCTGACGTTGTACTTCCGTCATATCGCCCACCTCTACTACCTCTAGCCATTATTTCCTGAAACTTTTAAGCACAAATCAATTACAGGAAAGAAGAATGGCAAAATAAAATGAAAACTGTAAAAGGATTTGATCATGTTTATTTGAAGAATGATCAATCACAGAATTTGGTGTATACTGTCAACTTCGACAGCATCCAAAACCCGTATGTCTGTTATATCAATTCTTTCTCTATGGCACAATAAAACAATACAGAACACCTACTGCTAGCTGTATTAAAATATATTTTAGACCCATTTAATCTAGATACAAAAATGAATTTACAAACCACTTAAATATATTTTAATTCCAACATAGATATAAAAAGTTATCAAATCTCAAAATAAACATACATCTCAATATATGGTGGCACAGACTAGCTGAGTTCCAGTTTCAACAAAACAAAGCTGAGGTGCTTTTTCAGTTTGGCCTTTATAAGATGACAGCATGCAGCAACTGCATCGTGACAGGAGACGCCTGTCTTGGAGACAATGGCCCTTTTCTGCGTGCAGGCTGGTGACATCTCAAGGAAAACCAATAGCAAACAAACACAAATGCCTTCTTCAAACCTTCTTACACCAACAGAGCAAATACAGCAAAGGGGCTCAACCTCAAAGCCCGAATTACTAACATTTCCAGTTCAAAACACTCCCACTTCAACAGCACCATGCTGATAAAAGATGAGATGAGATCTTTTGTGATGTTTATCACTTCCACATTTGTATCGCTTTTGTTTCTTTAGCCTTGGGATACTACATTCTGACAAGTAACACTGAAACCCGATTCATTTCGGTCAAACAGCATCACCAAGTATCAACCAAATTGGCTGGTAACACCATCGACTAGGTCAGGGTATCCAGTTTTTGACCTAGAAAGTCAGTCCACCAATTTGGAGATTTGTCTGCTCAAACACATCTGATTCAACTCCAACGCTAATGACCAAGTTCTAGTTTTTGAGCTTTAAAAATGACTAAACTGTGCTGACCTTCCAAGACCAAAACTCAACAGATCAACCCAGACTTGCAACAACATCCTACACAGATAACTGTTCAAGAACTCGCATTAACATGCCTTTACGTTAACTTCACAACTGAACCTCCCTTCACTTTCATAACATCAGCATATCATTTCCAACTTTGCACCAATACCAGCAGCCAATATCTTACAAATATCCATTGCTGCCCCACATGTCCCTGTTCATCACTATTCAGAACTTCAACATTTACCTCAATAATTTTAATCAAAAGAATGGCACCATGAACATTGGAAACCTCATTTCACCCCTGCCCTTTTAAATACACTCTTATAAAAGATAGTTCTTTAGTAAGAACAGTAGTTCTATATAGAACCATGAACACTCGAAGAACCATCTGCACGCCTAAATGTTCTTTGCATCATGAAATGGTTTTTCAGATTGAATATTCAGAATGTGTTGTATATGCTTCTATATCGCACCAAAAAGGGTTCTTCTCCTGTTAGAAGCTTGACATCGTGACCACAGAACCCTTTTTTAAAAAAACATCTGACATAGAACCATATACAACACATTCTCCATTAATTTGAAGAACAATTTTACCATGCAAAGAGCCCTTTAAGCATGCAAATGGTTCTTTGGTTAAGACACTGGTTCTATATAGAACCATGGTCTTTACTAAAGAACCCTTAAAGAACCATCTTTTTCAAGAGTGTAGAAAAGGAGTTGCTCAATGCTGAGATTAAAAAAATATTAAAAGATCTGTATGTGTTGCCATGCACAAACAAATTCACTGTGCATGTCGATCCAAATTCAGAAAACTCACACAGCAGTTATTCTGGAGGATATAGTACAAATGTATGAAGCAAAACAGAGGCATGAGAAACCTGCATCAATGAACTGTGCGGCTACAGAGCTAACCCTGAGACACTGCGTGTAAGAAGTTGTCTGAGAGGTAAAAAAAAAAACCTGATGTATGCCAGCCAAGTGCACAGAGCTATAATTTCATGCCTAGTTGTTTGCCATACGGCATTACCTATCTCCTGTTTGCTTAATCAAACTGCTCTGCTCTACAGAGATGGAGTTAAAGAAGTAACACAAGTTCAGAAGTTGAAAGACTGCTCTTGGTTTTATAAAAGAGCTACAAATATGAGCACAGACGAAAGAGTACATTCTTTCTGCAATTTCCCTCTGCATTTCACCAAGGCATGCAAATGACAAGGGATTAAGTGCTTTAAGGCATTTCTTCACAGACACTAGTGACTAAGGGGAAGTGATGACTGAGAAAATGCATCTGAACAACCTGGGGTGCGGCGTGTGACTTGATTTGAGTCACATCCTCGTAAAGCCTGCTGATGTTGCGGGCAGAATACACATAAATTCACACACATAAGCTGAGCGCTGAGCCACAGGAAGGCAGTTTTGTTTGCAGAGAACAGGTAGAAGGTAGAAGGAGCAATCCAATACAATGGTCTGTTTAGTTCTAAAAGCATAATTATAGCTTGCCCTGCCATCCAGCATACAATGATCCAGAGTGCTCAGTCTGAAAAACTGGAAGAAACCTGACATTTCTGGTCCCTTTTTTGTGTGCACTATTAAAACATTGCCTAATACTGGCCTAACAGCTTTTTCATTTACTTTAAAACACGCTACAGGCACCTCATTGGAATAATCTTCAAATAAATATTTTCTCACAGAAAAAAGCAGATACTGGATGACAATAAAACATAAAAATCACATATAACAGAAAGAAACCTGCACAAACATTGAGATGAATATAACCCAGTGATTTAGAAGTATCTCCAACAGAACATCTTTGGTGTGGCTGGAAAATTTTTTTTAAGATTAATAGGAGAGAAGCAATTTGTGCTGGTGGTGCCAGGTTTAATACATAGGTGGATAAAAGAAAAAAAGAATGAGAAGGAAAAAAGAAGGGATGTGTGTATTTTTGCACTTTCCACTTTAAAACTGTTAAATGGTTCCTTCTCTTGCAGCTTGCATGTCCTCCTCGAAGCGGAACCTTTTGGCATGCGGCGACGAGTCCAGGATGTTCTCCTTGTCCTCTGCATCCTCGAGTGGGGCAGCCCACTTGCTGCCACCACTCCTCTCTCGGGGGGTCCGCGGGCTTGGGGGAACAGGTTCAGAGCCTGGACACTGCTGCCACAGCCAGGGGTGGCTCAGGCAGTCCGCGGCACTGGGGCGGTCTCTGTTAAAAGGCAGAGTAAAGAGTCCAAGGCAGTGTAAACTGGTATTGCACTACACCATTTAGATTGATTTTAACCCAGATTTGCCCCTTCTGACAAACTTCTACAATCTGAAGTGACTTTTCTGGTGGGGAACTAGATCTAAAGCACAGTGATATATTTAAACATTTTATTTTTACGTTATGCGTGTGATACCCTCTTTTTGCCTTTTCATCTAGTGTGCAATAATGACAAAAACACAGAAATTCTGTAAAAGACTGACTGTTCAGACTTGTGCGCCTTAAAATGGTGTCAAAAAATTATTAAAATATGATGTATTAACCAAATGGAAATGTATTGTTTACTACAAAATGGTTTTCCACTGGGTAATGTGAAAGTAAAGTTGGAAAGTCTGTATTTATCTCACTCAGTAGACACAAAAGAAGGCACATGATGCCACAACAAAGATGGCAACCTACTAGTAGAAGGATTTTGTCTATTTTTAACAATAAAGTATTTTGCATGGTTTATACAACACATTTTAACAGTACTGGACATGCACAGCATATTGAGGTATAAATGACAGTCAGAGTTCCCTTTAAGAGAGCAGTGGTACATTAGTCTGGTATCTGCTAGTGCTTAAGTTTGCTTAAATAGTAAGCTTGGCCAAAAATCATTTTCCATACTTTTGTCAACAACCAATAATATAGTCAATCTGCCAAAACATGTTTGGTGTCCGAAGACAAGCTAATGTTGATAATGAGAAAATATATGTTGGGCAGCTAAAAACAGTATTAGCATCTTCAAGCTAGGGGGTGGGCAAGATGGCAAAAAAAAAAAAAACAACTTCACACACTCAGTTTATGATAATTCCACATTATAACTACATTCTCAATCCCATTTTTAAAAAGCAGTGTCACATAGGTCGTTATATATGCACAATATGAACAATAAAACAATCATATAAAAAATATGAATAAGAATAATAATAAAGACTCCACACAATGATGCTCTCTGTGTTTACAGTTATGATACAGGCCTAGTAGAAGTTAGAGTTCTTATAGTTAAACAAGGTGTTATTTATGCACTGCTACAATAATGGTAATTTCTACTAGCACCTTAAAGGCTTTCCCCAAGTTAAATTAGTATCAAGCTAACACAGCTCCAAAAAAGGCCAAAAACAAAAGCAGCTTCATTATGGTTCTAGATAAAATAAAACAAAAATAAACACAATCACTAATGTATAAGTGAATCTTCTTCATATAAAATCATATGGTACTGTGACTAAGCTAACCTTTTAGTTAAAAAAAAAAAAAAACTTAAATTTAAACATTTTTTCCCTTACCACAAATAAATGAACATTTGTGTTGTGTCTGCGCTCACTGTGAATGTTGACTTGCTCTGAACAGGTCAGAGGAGGGAAGCGCTCAGAATCTGACAATGTAGTGAGAAGTTGTGAAAGCAGAGTCTATCTGAACTGCAGTGATGTTATTTTAAAGGGTCCACTCTAATGTTGCTGTGTGTATTTAATATCATAATGTATATCAATATCAATAATGTACATAGAACTACCGAATACTGGCACTAAGTCTAATTTGTGCCAATGAGAAAATTATTCAATTTGTCCCTAAACTGTGGCTGTCATCTTTTCTCTATTGCAGGACCACATGATCTTAAATAAAGGTTCACTTATGCATTTGTGTAGTGATCGTATTCATTGTTTCACAATGAGGCTGCCTTTGTTATTCAAGCTATTTTTGAATGTTTTGACTGATAATCTGGATAAACAGGCCATGAAGTTGTAGGACTGGTCCAAACATAGCTCAGTATTCTCAAATAGATCACATCAGTCAGAATGTCCACAAAGAGTAAACCAAAAGAAGTCTTGTGAAACTCTTTAGGGTGATGAAATTGGTAGGATCTTATTCTTTTACATGTAGCTGTGTGACTGGTGTGAAATTGTTACACAACATGTACATCAGAAAATCCCTAAACATGTGATGGTATGATATAAGTGCGGTTCTGAGTGACTTTAAAACGCCATATCTAAACAGCCTTTGACTTTATAAAGGAAAGTAAATGTTTAACTTTATTGTGGCACAGAAACACTGCACCAATGTTCTGAATGGCCTTTAAAGATCATAAGATTCAGACATAATAAAGTTCTGAACTGTTCTCAACTAGAAGACGTGCAGTCTTCAGTGTTTAGAAATGGAACCTTTACAAACACTTTAGCTCGTCTGCATGAGCTGAGTAACACAGAGCTCTGCATGGCTACCAGCTTATAGCAATGTTCCTCAGTAGCTCAGTAACACTAAGATTGATAACTGATATATCACTCTAGTCAGGCTATAATTAGAGCAATATTTTGCTACTGGGATATGGCCATCACTACTTTTGCAAAGTATTGTGCCCAACATTGAGACAGACAGAGAAACTCACTCTGGTGCCTTGACCAGTAATTTTCTGATGAAATGCACAGCCAGCTCGGACACTCTAGAGAAGGCTTCTTTGCTGTAGTCCACGTTCACCTGAGAGACATTCAGGAAGGTCTGCTGCTTGTCCTCGCCAGCGAAGGGAGACTCTCCAGTTATAAGCATGTAGGTGATTACACCAACACTCCTGAGATTCACACACACACATGAAGAAAATAAAAGAAAGGTAAACAAAAACATTGTTTTACTCACAATGGCTTATGCGGCTCACTTAAAGTTCATAAGCATTCTGATGCACTGCAACTTTATGCAATCAACAACTGTCTTGTTTGGTGCAGCACAATAATTTAGACCAAGGACGTCAAAGTGAGTCTGCAGTAGCTTTGCAGAGTTAAACATTCTGCCTCATTAAACCCACCTGATTCTCATCAGCTTAACAGCAATTCCTTTATTAAGTCAAACTGGAGTGTTCGATCAGGGAAAATGCTAATCTCAGCAGCGCTGTAGCTTGACAGGAACTCAGTTTGACACTCCTAATTAAGACCTCATAAGATCTAATATGCTCCAGATGAACACCCTGTCAAAGTTCTGTTCTACCAAATGTACGTAACTGTTTTGTCAAAAACAGTCACATCATTTACCATGCAATATGTAAATATAAGCATGCAGCTACATTTGAATTCATATGGCAATCACAACATGCAAAGGAAATACTACAATGTGATACTTTCTTCATATCATGCAGCTCCAGCCATACAGCTTTTTAAATAAACGGCTTATAAACTTACCAGAGATCTGATGCTGTGGTGATGGGCTCATAGTTCAGGATCTCTGGAGCTGGTTAAAAATGTAAAAGTATGACATCAATGTTAAAGATACAGGCTAGTAAAGCTTTTTAGGTAGAAAAGATCTGTTGCAATGGTGTTACAGGCTGACTCTAGAAGGAACTTTGCATACACAACAGCCATGGCAAAGTTTCACCATGTGTCACCACTTCCCAGCAGCAGTGACATTATATTTTTCTGCCACTTTTGGCCATATATATCCTAAAATCACGCAACTATCTTTCTGTCTACCACCATACAGCAATAACTGCCTTGTAGCAATGTAACATCAAAGCTGTGCTTGATGCATTCGTACCAGTACCACTGTCACTAACATGGTGATATCACTGCTGTGCTGAGAATAGTACACCAACCAAATAATATCCAATCAGTGGTGGTCCTATGGTGGTCGTTTTCCATTGATGGACAGAGTTGAGATGGGTGATAAACTGTGCAGCAACAGATGGGCTTACAGTTAGTAATTGAAAACCCACAAAGTGCACCTATATGGTAGGTTACCTGATAAAATGGCCACGGAGTGTATGTACAGGACAATTACCTAATGAACTGGTAACTCAAGTATTAGAAACTCTTAGAAACTTAGAAGCTTACCCACGTACTCAGGTGTACCCAAGATCTCTCGCAGCTCTCCAGCTGATCCCAGCCTGCGTGCCAGTCCAAAGTCCACAATCTTAATGTCTCCCAGAGGACTTAAACTGGTCAGCAAAATGTTCTGAGGCTGAAACACAAAGAAAACTTTTCCTTGAAGCCATGTGTGAGGTTTACACTTCTCACTAACAGACATTACAACTACTACTCTATTTTGTGGAACAAAGTACAATGTCAATGTGCAGTCATGGGATTTTGTGTTTATGATATTAAAGTAGATGCTTAGGGTCATGTAGTAATGAACAAGTGAAAGGGAGAAGCTGGTAGCTTAAGCACTAACTGACCTTAAGGTCAAGGTGGACAACACTACTCTGGTGCAACAGGTGGATGCCTTCTAGAGTCTGTCGGATTAGACGGATGATCTGAAACTCGGACAGCAGCTCATCGGATATACAGTGGTCAAAAATCTCGCCACCTGCCGCACTAGAGGGAACATACACAGACACATAAATGCACACCTCAAATGTGACCACTCATAAATAAAGACAGCAAATTCTGAAATGAACAGCCCTGGTGCCATATTTGAGGCCCCATAACACTCACTATTCCAGCAGCAGTACAATGTCATGCTCGGTCTCGTAGGCTGCATGCAGGTTGATCACGCGGGGGTTGTTCCTGGCTGCCTCCAGCACTGCCATCTCATGGATCACCTCAGCCCTGCAGTCACGACCACGCCGCCGCTTCCGTACAAACTTTGCAGCAAACTCTTTACCTGTAGCCTTCTCCGCACATTTCTTTACCACTGCAAACTTCCCCCTGAGAGAGAAAGACAATGTCACAGTATAGTCAACACTATATTTGTTTTCCTAATAGGGCTTGGAAACTGATGTCACGTCATGCTGCATAATATGATCATTCTACCATACTGGCAGCGTTTACATGCTAACCATATACAGATACGTTGCAAGCTTTTGTGTTTTTTTCAGACTCGTCATGCTTAAAAGTGAATCAAAACGAAAGAGTGTATATCCCAACTGAATCCACAGGGATGCCAAACATTATATGGATAAAATTAGCCTTCCCGACAGTGTAGATCCATACAAACTCCCAAATAAATAGCAGGGTAACAAACTTGATATTTTTTCCTAGCTTTAGAGTGCCTTTAGAGATTAAATTCGCAAAAGAGAATTTAGAGATTAAATTCTCAAAACCCACACAGGATTAACAAATACATTATATTACATTCTACCCAGTCACTGGCACATTTTATTTAGTTACTGGCATAATCCACAGTCGGTAGCTTTTTTAGCAAACACTGCTAGCATAGTTAGTTCGCAAACTAATAACACAATTACTGTGCTGTACTATATTAAACCCTACAAAATGTGTATTAAAATTTACATTGTTATGGCAGTAAATCTAAAGTCTTTAAGACAGCCAAATTCTAGGTGTATTTTCACCTCAGCTAATATTACTAGCCATATCATATTTCAACTTCAAATCAAGAAAAGCAGACAGGAAAGGAAATTTCATTTAACAGCTCAGAACCAGACACAAACAGTCCAAAAAAGTGAGTTAAATCAAGGAAAGCACTAAAATGTGCCTGTCAATGGGCCTCCAGGAAGCAGGGTTGGGAAACACCAGTCTAGATGACAGGCTAACCCTGCCAAAACAGTGGATCACCCATAAGACACTGCATCATGATGTTACATTCCCAAGCTGTGTAGACTGAGTTTCTCTGCTTAACATTTTCTCCCAACACACCTGCTCTTACTGGTTTAAAGGGGAATTCCACCAATTTGTTTTGTCTGCATAATTCAATTTAAGATGTAAACAGAGTCGTTTAGAGTGGTTTGGTGTGAAGCGCACCGTTCTAGAGAAACTTGCCAAGTCAGAACTGTTCACAGTGGTGGTGACAGGAACCAGACATCAACCTCTATAAGCGCCCTCACAAAAAGCTATGACATTAAATGGTTATGAATATACTGAATGCAGTCTTCTATGAATACACTGCCTACTTTCTTGTTTTATGATAAGATTTTGAACATATTCATTTTATAAAATGTTTTGGCAGACAGATACATGCAAGGTGTTTTAAAGCAAAAAGCTCATTGGTTTTTTTTTTCATTTAACACTAATTTACCTTTACCAGTATTTAACAAAGAATGCACGTGCACATTCACTGATTGTTTTAGAAAACCAATAAAATGGCTACATTTGCATTGTATACATTGTGACTCCTGGTTCCTGTCACCACCATAACCCTAGTAATTGTAATATAAACACATTTCACATTCGAGTTCACATGTGGTTAAATCTATTACTGTTCAGCATTTAGAAATAAACAGTGATGGGTGCAATGCTGTAAGTATAATTACAGACTTGTGCTCTGTGATTATTGGAGTTGGTAAAACACATGGCAAACAAACAAATGACATGGTGTTTATTGAACTTTATTATTATAAAGTATAATTAACATTTATGTCCATTAAAAAAGGTATTTACAAGTATATCAAGTATATATGTTTTTCCCGTGGGTGTAACATGATTTGTCAGCCTATTTATATGCTCGAGTGAAGGTTTTAAAGGTTTTAGTGTTGCAGATTAGGCCTGGGTGACATCTTAAAATAGTTAGTGAGTGATTATTTACAATATATTATCAATTCATTACTTATATCACCCATCTTTCACCCAATATATGTGGTGTGTTGAAGCTTTAATCTACTTTCTATTCTATTTTTAGTTTATACGCCTTTTTTAAACTTCTCCCGTTTAATTAAAATCTTTAATAAGACTCACATATTAAATAATATAATACTGAGTAACCTTACACCTTTTGAAATTTACTTCACCTGTCATTATAACAGATGTTACTGCAGGCGTGCGCTAATGATCTCCTTCTGGTGAGGGTTTGTGGCAACTTGCATGCTAATAGCAAACTTCAGACTGCAATTAATTTTCAAAGCCATGCCTATGTACTTCACATGTTAAAAAACAAGGGGTTTTCCGTTGTTATAGCAGAGACACTCACAAATTCAGCTACAGATGCTATTGGAAAACCATGTAGAATTTTTTACCCAAAAGAACCATGCGGTAAAGCTAGCATTACAGTGAATTACAGTGTGTAGCAGAGAGAACTAATAGGTAGCTTCTCAACAAACTTCTTTCTTTCTCTCTTGATCTCTCTCTCTTTCTCTGAAAAAATGGCTATTGGGGCACACACTTCTGAAAGAAACATGATCCCCAGTTTCCAAACATATTTAACACGCTGTTTAACATTAACTTAGTGCTGTCCGTTTCTCTGACAGTTCACTTTTCTAACATTGTGATTATTGCCTTTTACATATCACCATCAGGCTACTTGTCAATCATCAATGATATCCGATTACACTGCTCTATCGTCCAGGCCTATTGCAGATATAAACATATTTAAAAAGGAGACTCATTTCTGTCTCCTTCCTGAACAGTGAACTACTGTACACTCTTAGCAAAAATGGTTCTATATAGTACTGAAAAAGCGTTCGTTCTTTTTGATGCTAAGTAGAACCATCTTTAAAAAGGTTCTTTAAAGAACCATATTCAACAGGCTTTTCATCACAGAGAAGAACCATTTGACCATGCAAAGAACCGTTTATGCATTCGAATGTTCAGAAACAATATGCTGGCTAGTCTGGGCCTCACTGTCCTCCTTTAGCATTCAGGATTGGAGTGGAGCAAGACGAATGTGTATGTACACAAGCGTGCCATGGTTTTAAGGAGGAAGGAAACTAAAGGGGGAAGTTGGACTGCGAGAATGCTGCGAAAGGGGAACTGACATTGGGTTCTTCCTTCGTCCATCTCACTCTTTGAGCTGGTATGATGTGTATGTGCTTGGGTTGATTGTAAACACGTCTTTATGAAAGGGCTTTGCATGCACAAGCTTGTCTTCGCATAAGAGGCGCATGAAGATCAAAAAAAATGGTTTGCAAAAAAAGTGTTTGCATGTCAAATATGGTGGTTTATTATAGTATCTGAAAGACAAGAAAACTAAACCAGCAGGAGACTGATTGGGTTGTAGCAGAATGGTTTGGGAACACTACATTTCAGTAGCTGCATGTGTGGTGAATCAGTTATTGCCGTGGTGGTTGACATCAGTACTACTACTCTGGTATAGACTGCAGTGAACTGCCTTTCAGCTGGGCAGTTCTCCACCATACAATGAAAATGTCACTGCATCAAAATCTGTATTTACCAATAATAAAAAACAACCACCATTAAAAAAAATCTCCATTTAAGACTTAACTGTATGGACAACTGATTTGACAGCTCATTTTACAGCTGACTTCTTGTTCATTAAGGGGTCTTAAAAGGGAATTATGTGTAATTCAGTGGTTAGATATAAACAAAGTCATTCAGAGTGGTTTGGTGTGAAATGGTTCATTGTAGAGACTAATTACAGTGGTGGTGATAGGAACAAGGGGTCAGTGATGTCTATGACGCAAATATATACATTTTATTTACTATTTAAGATGACCAGCGAATCTACTCGTGTCTTCTGTATTTTGTTGATGATGGCAAAATAGTGGCGAATCTGAAAGTAATAGATTTGGCCCTGGATGTGCCCCTCCACCATGATCCAAAAATATTTTTTAATTCAACAATTAGTCGCAAAACAATGTCTCACATCAGGGAGCATATTGGTATCCATTTTATGCATCTGTGAGGGAGATTTTAGAGGTGGATGCCTGGTTCCTATCACCACCACTGTGAACAATTCTGACTTTGCAAGGTTCTGTAGAACAGAGAATTTCACACCATACCATTGTGAATGAATCTAAACTATTTCATTACAATGAAATTTTGAAAAAAAATAATTGGTCCTCTTTAAAAGGGAACTCAAATAAAAAATAAATCAACATAATTATGACATCATAAGACTGACCTCACCAAAATTAAATGGTTGTGATGTAAACAAAATGGATCACCTCTAAGAAACTTTAGAGAACGTCGAGAAGTTAAAAATATATCAGCGATAACGAGGCTGAAGTTGGCTTCCTATTCGCCCGCTTCATGCTGGAATTTTCCCGTTACACCTTACTAGGTGCTTAAGTTAACTGCTTGCACCATTTAAGGTGAAACTGAAAAATCAGAGCAAGAAGCTGACTTCAGCTTCACTTAGTGAGAGATATTAGACAAGTTTTAAAAAAGAAAAGCTGTACAAGTTACCAAAGCGAGTGGTGGGTAAGTGACTGACCTGCCCAGTTCTCCGGTGATGTGGTACAAACTGTCCAGTGGCTCAGTTAGGATGGCGGTCTGAACGTCCCCCAGCAGACCCGCCGCCAGCCCGCGGCTCTCCAACCGCCTCCGAGACATCAGCCCCTGCCACGGAGGACGGCAAAACGGGAAAACCGACACAAAAAACTTAGACTTTCGTTTCCCCGGTAGTTTCTGACGAAGTTAGCTAGGTTAGCTAACCTAGCTATCGAGCTTGTTTGGACGCAGAGTCGTTGAGTTTTGACTGCCTTCAAACAGCCGGTTACCCACTGAACAGAGACTAACCGGTCTGTGACGTTGGCAAGTAAGCTCTACCACATAAAAACAACTTAAAAGCGACTTTTACACAATAACAAGTTGTTCTACTATATTTATTATGCATCGTAAAGCTAACCAGCTAGCCAGCTGTCTCGTTTTGTAGCGCTAAAGTTACTCTATTTGCCGGCTAACACTACATTAGCTTTAGCTTAGCCGCGCCGTGTCTACTTAACGCCCTAAAACTAGCCAGGGAGGTTTGAAAAAGTCTCTGGTTGTTAAAAAGGACATTTTAATCCTCCCGCAGACCTATATTTGACAGTTTTGTGAGTACATTTCCTCACGTAGACTGTCAAGACTGACGTCGCTTTCGCGGTTTTGTTACTCGTCGTTCTTCGCTTCCACTCGGAAAACTTCGACGGGGAAAATATCTCGAGAACTTTTTCACTTTTAAAGATATTGCTTTACTAGTTAGCTCCGAGGTTAAGAGTTAAGTAGTTAGAGAGACTGCTTTTAGTAAAGGTTAGTTTGTGTTAGTTGTTAATCTTTCCAAATCGAGCATTTCTTTCCGCTTCTGGGTTTTGTTTTCTCCCACACCCGTATTCTGACAACTCCCGTCCACCTGTGCCAGGATTGGCTAGTAGATTATGAGGGCAAACTGCTTAGCCAATCATAGCGCAGATAACACTCTGCTACGGCGGCGCATAGGGACGGGGTTTGACTGAACATAGGTGTGGCAAAAAAACCGTCGAGCCCACAAGCGAGCTTTAGTCCAACCAATCGTAGTGTAGGAGCTGGAACACTACTAGCCAATCGAAACGCATTCCACACAGTCATTTTCGCACAATTCTTAATTACAAAGATCTGGCAACATAAACACTACAATATTAATGACAGTGGATCTTGACATATTAACTTAATGTATCACCTGACCGTCGCACCTATATGAGCTTGCTGGACAGCCCATCCCAAAACTATGGGCATTAATATGGAGTTGCCCCCCTCTGCAGCTATAGCAGCCTCTACTTCTGGCAAGGCTTTCCAGAAGATTTTGAAGAGTTTCTGTGGGAATTTGTGCCCATTCAGTCAAAAGAGGTCAGGCACAGATGTTGGATGAGAAGGCCTGGCTCGCAACTCATCCTAAAGGGGTTCACCGGGATTGAGGTCAGGGCTCTCTGCAGCTGGTAAACACTCACAATTGGTCAGCACCGATGAACAGAACTAGTTGTGCTCTTTTGGTCTCCCAGATGGATGGCTATGGCATCGTTATGATTTGTACCAACACCAGCTACTCAAACTGCAGTCTAAAGCCTCTTAAAGGGGAATTCCACCTATTTTTCAAAATTTCTGAATAACTTAGAATAATTATTATTATGATGGTAAAACATGAATGAGTAATGAATCTGAAAAAAAAGCTTTCGTTTCACTCCTCCTCTATAAATTGATTAAAATAAATGGATTAAAATACACTTTGAGCCAAAACTTTATCACAAAACTACTGTAAAACAATGTCTCAGACATCAGGCAGTATATTTATAACCATTCCATATAATAACTTTGAGTGAGAGAGCTTTTAGAGGTGCACGTCTGGTTCCTATCATCACCACTGTAAACAAAGTTAAAGGGGTAGTTTCCCCTTTAACTACCACATTTGGCAAAGTCTGTGTTTTTTTTTTTTTTGGTGAGGTCAGTCTTATGATGTAACTTCAATATGTGACAGTGTTTGCGTATATATTGGCTGCTTAACAGTGCCATTCCAAATAAATATGTACGTACAACAAAATATATCATGTATCAGGTTTTTATTTACCACAAGGCGCGATAGCAGCATTTTTCAAAAACGCTATTCATTTTTCCCAAAAAAAGAATCTGCTTAGACCTGAAGTTCCTAATAAAGGTGTGACACCAACTACAGAATGACACAGGACTTCAGTGGTTTATTTACTCATGATGCATTCCATGTTTTGGAAATTTGAACAGGTGTGGAAAATACTTAATTGTACTGCATTACTGTACTTTATTGTTTTGTGTGACTTGCAGTTTACTTAAGTGTTACTGAAACTAAATGCAAGACAAAAACATATCAGCACCAATTTTCAATACCAATTTTGATTTCAATCTTCAAATGACCTTTTACAAATCTCAAAGCCAGGATATGTTTTTTTTCTCTTTCATTTTTTTTCTTTTTTCAGAACTCAGTGTTTTGTGTATTTTTTTTTTAAATATCCAACCACATTTCTATCAGTCTATAATAAAATTGCACACAGATATGCTAATTTGTATGTGTGAAGACTAGCTCCTTTTTAATAACCTTTTATTTATTTAAGGATTTACTTTTTACTTTCATGCTGTCAAATGCAAACAAGAAAAGTGACACTTCTGCACGTTCAAAAGTACAATTACTGTTTATTTGCAGAATTTTACATACTGGAAAAAATAAACATTTTATATTTGATGGCAATATAAAATGGTGTAATTTTATATATGATGGCAATGGTCAAAACTTGAACTGTACCTTGAGCCCTTCGAGTGCAGCTCAGCTTGACCCGCCATCCTTCAAGATGTGTGGAAGTCAAGCATTAAGATTTTTCTCTGTACTGGCACACAGGTGGTGGAATGAACTCCCACTGGCTGTCCGAACAGCAGAGTCTCTTGGGGTCATCAAACGCAAACTGAAGACACATCTCTTTATACAGCACTTAAGTGAGCACTGAGTTAAGTATTTATTGAAATGTATTGTATTGCACTGCACTGTGTTTAACTCTGTGTTTCTTTTCTCTAGGTATCAACATGGACTTTTGTTTCTAGCAGTATCTGAGCTCAAGACTAGCTTTCTCTTTAACCTATTTGTAACTAGCATAGATACTTTCTCTAGATAGACAAAGCACTTTTTGTAAGTCACTCTGGATAAGAGCATATGCTAAATGCTGTAAATGTAAATTATATGTTTTATTTTTTTTCCAGTATGTTAATTCTCAGCAAATTAATGGACTAATTCTCAGCCACACAAGTCACAATGCCACATTAAGGTTCTCTGTAGGGGATGTATTTTTCACTTAGAAAATCAACAACAAAATGGAATTTAGCCAGGCATCTTCAAACTTTTGCATGCAGCTGTATACTTGGATATGTTTAATTGTTGATGCTTTTTTAAGTATATATTTGGCTCCATACCTCCACTTTAACTAAGTAGGATTTTGACACAGTACTCATAATTTTCTGTTTCTCTGTACTTTATCCACCCCTGGATTTGAGTCATATCAGGTGAATTGAAATATCAGTAATCATGCAGTCACATTTCACTTTCATGTTTGTCACACCAGGGGAGACTGGGGGAATGCCGGCCCATATCCATAAAACACAACAGTGCAAACTTGTGGGATTCAAGGTGCTTTTACTACACTAATAAAACATGAGAAACATTTAAGCATGTAGTTTGTGAGGGGCTATTATTTCAGTTTTATGGAATTTGAAAGGGACCTTTCTTTATGAATCAGCTAAAAAGTAGTTCTTTTGTTTTTTTTTTTAAACAAGACATTCCATTGGCTACAAAAACGTCACTTAACTTTAACTATAAAACCATCTTCAGTCCAAAAAAGTACACAACAATAAGGAAAGTAATAAAGGGTAAAATGAAGATAAAATAATAATGTTGTTGTTCTTTCAATCCAGACTTAGTCGCCAACCTTTAATAAAACCGCTGGACCAAAATGGAAAAATACAGTGCAATCAAAGCAAAGTTGTGTTTTGACTGAGGTTCCTCATTTTCTTGTTTTTTTACTGACAGCAGAAACTGAAAGGGTTTAATTTCATTGGCTGGACTGTAGCTCAACTGGACAATGGACTCATGAGGTTCATTTTGGTTGGACGATGGACAACACGGGACAACTTTTGGACAACACCAAGGCTGAATCTCAAATGGCTTAATATTTTCTTCATGGTGCACTATGTAAGTCACAAAACGATCGGCATGTCCCAATGTCCACATTTGTGATTTGTGGTTTTGCCCAAGCGCACACTGATGTGACATACTTCCGAATATATCACAAGTGCACAAGCACATGTTAAGACCAGAAGAGTGTAGATCTCTACAGTAATATGTGTCAAATTCCATGTTGTTGCTGATGTTCTAAGTGAAAACAAGAAATCCTATATAGAGAACACACTTCAGTATGGCATTTTCTGCAAATATATGCACACTTCTTATTTATTTGCTGAAAAAAAAATATATATATATATATTTATATATATCTCCCATAACCATAGTGTAACATATTGGAAAAACATAAAACATAACATGTGCCATAACTTTTGCACAGGCCATATTTTATGTTTTTCCAAATATGTTAAATTCAGTAAGTAAACCGTACTTGTGCATTAAAATGTGCAGAAGTGTGTTCTCTGTAGAGGATGTGTTAACTTATTTACACTTAGAAAATCAACAAAACATGGAATTTGACCCCAAACTTTTGTACACAACTGTGTTGTATCTCTTTGGGTTATATACTGATCCCAATACTGCTTTGCACTGTGCTTTTGCACATTTCAGAAAAGGTGCATAAAGGAATGTGCAAAAGTTGCGCCTAGGTCAAATTTCACAGTTTTTGATTTTCTAAGCATATAACATATCCTCTACCCAGAACACACTTCTACACATTTTAATGCACAATTACTGTTTATTTACTTAACATATTGAGGGAAAAACATAAAATGTGGCCTGTGCAAAAGTTATCGCATGAGTTATATTTTATGTTTTTCTAATATGTTACACTCAGCAAATAAACAGTAATTGTGCATTAATATATGAAAAAGTATGTTGTAGAGGATGTGTTAACTTATTTTCACTAATAAACAAAATAAACAAAACATCATTTGACCGTTTAAACCTTTCCATACAACTGTACTTGGACACTTATTTGAACACTTACACTGGTGGTATGGCTTCTAAACCCAAACAGTGCATTTAATGTTTAATAGGGAATCCTGCAGCCTTTGGCTGAATACTAAATGCCTTGCTATTAGATATTTATTGCGCTGTTTGGGTGCAGAAGTCTACGTAGTGCATAGGGGGCCTTTTGGGATTCAGCTTGAGTAGTGGAACACTGTGTAAAGACAGACAGCATTCATAGAACAGATGTGGTGAGCGGAGACCAATCTGCAACTTACAGCAGGACATTTTGCAGTACAAAGCCATGGCTGAATGTGCCCAAGAGGCAAAGGCACATGAGACGTGAACCACTAATAATGACTGCTATCTGTGCCACTAAAAAACATACAAAGGTGGACACACAGAGACCAAAAGAGACTATTCTAGCCCCCAAACCTTTGGTACATTCAGTGCAAAATATAATTTAAACACAGAACAAGACAGGCATCCATATAGTACAACTATATACAAATATGGGCATGATTGTGGACCACATGCATGCTCTCAGTCTGACTAACTGCTAGTATGGTGCTAGCTCTATCAGCCTTCTATCACAGTCTTTTAATCTCAACACAAATTGTTGGAAGAGGTGAATACATATTTTTTGTTGTTTTGTTTTTGTTTTCTTTAATCCCCTTTGTTGTTAACAGCAACTCCTCATGCAAGTTAAAGCTAATCTGGACTGGTGGTGGTTCACTAACTCCAGCATGCAATATCAAGCTATGACACAACGCCATCTAAGGGTCGAACTCAGGTACTGCATTAAAGACCCTGCATGCATTAGTTTAGCCACAGATCACTCTATACAGAGAAAAAAGAGCATTGCTATATTTGGGACAAATAAAAACATTCGAATCTATTCTGTTACCAAATCAGAATGGTGTGTGTTTGTGTGTGCAGGTGGATGGATTACCACAATAGATGCACTTCAGCATTTCTGCAAACCAGTTAGGAAAAAGTGGTAGAAAAAAGTTATCTAGTTGTTTTTTTTGCCATTTTTCAGCATTTGGTCCACTGTGTCCAAAATGATACAAATCAGCAAAGGGTTCCAGGATGACGTCATCTGGGGTCAATTTTCAAGACGTGCAAGTATTTCTAGCTGACTGGTGAGCTGCTATACTGACATGGCTTGACATAATATGAATCATTACAATCTGCGAGTTATGCTTTGTTCTATGTATTACTTTTTGCACCTCTATCAGATTAATACAGTGTTTATTATGCAAATGTGTTCATTCGGAACAGGGGTGGGTAGTAGCTACTTCCATACACCCAATTCCACACACTTAAAAGGGAATTCCATTGCGAGTGGTGTGAAATGGTTCACTGTAGAGACTTCTTTACAGTGGTGGTGATAGGAACCAGGGTCAGCATATCTACAATACAAATATAGCTATTTTATTTACTATCCAAAACCACCAGTGAACCTACACATGTCTTCTTAGTTTTTATATGGAATGTTGATGATGGTAAAATAGTAGAAAATCTGAAATAGTAAGTTTTCTTTGGGGACTATTTTGCCTCACAATGCCCATACACAGCATGTATCCTTCCACGATTAATTGATTTAAAAATGTTTTTTTAAGCCAAACTATCTTCAAAAAAACATAAAACAATAAAGCAGGCATCATGCAACATATTTAAAAGCTTTTCATGTAAACTGTTAACTGCTGTAGGCTGAATAGACGGGGTTAAACTGCTGTAGCCTGAATGGACAAGGCTAAACTGCTGTATATCGAATAGGTGGATATATGTAAATGAGCTGGTTCTTGTGATATCAAAAAAACAATGACTTCAAAATAGGCTGTTTTTGCAGTATAGTTTCTGTATACGGACTGTATGGACTAGTGAGTGAACGGTATGTATTGAAACTTTAACACATGTTTGCAAACAATGTTTATATACTGCATCAAATTCCTTATAAAAAAAGCAAGGAAAATTCATTTTTCCATGATATGGGCTCTTTAAGCTGCTCTACCCACCTCCCATCTTGAATATTTTTGTGTTATTTCAGCTATAAAAGTAGAGCTGCATTATTTATTTTTTACCACCTGGAGGAAACCTGAGGTAGCAGTTTTTAAACTGTTTCTGCTGCCTAATTCCTGTCCATGACAAAAACTACTGGTTTCCTTCACCTCCCCTAGTATTTCTCTAATAGGTAAAACACTACTAGAGAAACATCTTAATAAATGTCACTGGGACTCACAATATTGTGAAATATTGTTCACCCTGTCTTCTCCCACACAGGCCAGTGTCTGGTAACACTTTAATTGAACAGATGCTTTGTAGATGGTGTTAGTTTAAAAATGAATCAGTGGATGATGATGATGATAATGTATCAACTGTGCGTCAATTATGGAATTGTTGTATAATGGATTATAAACTATTATACCGATATTGAATGAAGTGTGTGCTCTTTTTCAGCCAAATATATAAACCTTGGGCTATTTTCAAGCCCAAAAATGTATAACACTTTCGTCAATTGCATTTGTATATTCAGTGTGTTTTTTAAAAATAATTTTGATTTGTACTAACATAAGTCCAATCAAAGCAAAATGTGGAATTTTACTATTCATTGAACAGCTTCCTAAAAATCATGGTCAAATCAAATTGTGAAATCAGATATCTGCACCCATTACCTTTTATAACTTGCATTCAGCTAGATATTCAAGGGAATACCAATGACATTTCTACATTTCTGTATAATCAAATGGTTAAGATGTAAACAAAGTTCTTCAGAGTGGTGTGGCGTGAACTGCTCCATTCTAGAGAAACATATTGAGTCAGAATTGTTCACACTGGTGGTGACAGGAACCACACATCCACCTCTAAAAGCCCCCTCACAGAAAGTTACTACATGAAATGGTTATGAAAACGCTGCCTGATGATTGAGACGTTGTTTTATGATAGTTTTGAGAAGGCCTAAAGTGTGTTATTAAAGGTGATTCACAGAGGAGCAGTACATGCAAAGTGTTGTAAGGCAAAATGGTCCCCAAAGAAAACTTATTTTTCAGATTTATCACCATTTAACCAGCATCAACATTACAAATAAAAACTGGGTAGTAAAATGGCTATATTTGTGTTGCAGACATTGTAACCACTGGTCCCTTTACCAGCACTTTGTTCAGCTTTCTTAGACACCGAATTATCCAGAAAATGTTAAAAATCAGTATAATTTCCCTTCAGTGATTCCCTAACTTTGAACCCATCAATCACTCTAACCCAATTCTCAACCTAAAACTCAAAACCTTAATATCTGCTGGGGTTCCTGCTTAGAAATGGGTGAGTTTAAACACTTTGGGATTGCAAAATGACCCCTTCGGAACATCAGAATAACAGCCTTTATGGAGACTCTGTTCCATTCTGAACCACAAATCATAGACTATTACAGGTTTTCTAATTGGTATCATTGTGGACACGACAGACCTGATGTTAAAAAAACGGAGTGGAAGTAACTTTTACATCACTGGATTACGGGGTCTAATCTGCATTTTCTCAGCAGCTACAGTAAACATGCAGCTTTAGTATTAAGCTATAAGAAAGCTTAAAGATGTAATGCCCCCTAATTCTAGTCCATCTGAATAGGTCATCCCTAAAAGCAGGACTCAACATTTGTACCCTTGGTTTGAGAACATGCTGCATGAACTACAGTGGTTGAGTTCCACTCTAATATAGCTGAATGACTTCTTGAATGCATCAGTATGAGCTTCTCTCTCTATAGCTGAGGAACAGTCAATATGTCCCATAGACAGAAGATCTATGAGATGATCCACATAAGTAAAGAACCAGTAGGTACAGTTAGATCTGCACTGAATGACTTCATATAAAACATTCAACCCGCCTGTATAAAGTGATGAGTGTGCATCCATTCATCACTTGATTCTGTGCATTCCTGGGTTTGTCTTCCCTCAGCAGAGGAACAGACCTGTCCATTCTCTGACTACATATGCAGTCTTTCATAGCAACTACTATATTATCCCATTCAGGAAACTGTAGCACACAACACTAGCTTGTTAAGAGGCCAGATTGGCAGATTTGCATTTTGAACAGAAAACTCAGCTTTATGTGGTGATTCAAAGTCTGTGTAGAGCAGTAATAAATGTGTTCACAGTTTGTCACACCACAGAAAAATGTGTTTTCAATCACCCAGCCAAATTTGAATGATTAAAAAAAAATCCCAAAGTATATAAAAGAAAGCTGTATTCACTCTCTGAAACTACACCCAATCACAAAAAAGGCACAGCCTCACCAGCTTCGTAATCGCCAGAATCTAACTGCTGCACCATTTAAGATGGAACAGGAAAATTTGAATAGGAAGCTAACTTTAGCTTTGTATTCACCAGAATGCAAGTACTGCACCATTTAAGGTGGAACGTGAAAATTTGACCAAGAAGCTGGCGAGCAGGAAGACAACTTCAGCTTCATACTGATGTTAGCATATTCAATATCTCACTAGGTTGAGCAGCAACCTTGGATTGAAATGAAGCGGCTAGCTGCGCTTTAGCTGACACAAACACGGAATTCGCTCTGTCTAGCAGCTGGACTGTACAGCCATACAGGTTTGAGCCAGCAGACCCAGAATCCAATTCGGAGCCAGAGGACACTGACCTACCCGATAATCAACCTTGTTCTTCTCAGTCTGCAACATCATCGAGCCATGATTTCAGACCCACAGCTTAACAGTCTAACAACACAATTCAGTACTACACAGTTCACGTTCTTTATTATTTTCTAACACATATAAAGTGTTTAGAAACAAATCTCTGAATTGACTTTACACGGACTTTAAACAAACTTTTTAGTGGTCTGAATAATTTCAATCTTTTTGGCAAAAATCAATAATATGTTGTATGCTACAATTTCTCATTAGATTGAATGGGATTTTGGCTAATAATCTGTAAACTTGTCCAAACTTGCAGTAGTTGCTATGAAATACCTGCAGCGTTAGTGGGTGGAGCATGGATAAGGTTGGGTGAAGAACACTGTGTATGTGTTTATATAGAAGGGGTACTCAGTGTATCTATGGTTTGTCTGTGTGAATATGAGAGGAAAAGAACGTTCCTGCTCATACATCTAATGCATTCAGTGTGTTTGTGTGTGTGTGTCTATAGACCGAAGAACAGGGCTCGGCCTTGAGTCCTCTAGGAGCTATCAAGAACAGCTTCAGTAAAATCAACATAGTCCTAGTTTCAGAGGAAAGAAGAAAAGGCTCCAGGAACCAAGGCCATATTAAGAGTGGTGATGGGGGTTGAGGATACAGAATGGGCTAAAAAGACTTTGTGGAGGTCCTGGCTGTGGTGGGAAGTGAAGGAGAGTTCTAGTGAGTAAGCATCACTCCAGGCCAAAGGTGCTAGTTTCCTCCACGGCGGTGACCATCTTCTCATAAAGCATGGAGAAGGAGTGGTACGGAGGGAGATCCAAACGGTTAAAACAGGTGTGAGCCCTGTGAATACAGACAACGAAACATATGAGAAATTTGTTTTATAGGTTACTAATTTGAAAAATAGCTAGGATATAGAAAGTGTTGAAGAAACAAGCCTGAGATTTAAAAGAAGCACTTGTTTGTTTGAAATGTGGGCTTATTAAGTTTTAGCCCAACTGTCCTATTACTTTCCTAGCATTTTTATAATGGTGACAAAAGACAAAGTGTCATGTGCAAAAGTTTGGGTCAAATGCCATGTTTTTGTTCATTTCCTAAATGAAAATAAGTTAACACATCATGTACAAAGAACACACCTCTGCACATTTTAATACTCAATCACTGTTTATTTACTATTAATTTAACATACTGGGGGAAAAAAAACATAAAACATAAAATGTAGCCATAGCCAGTGCAATTTTAAATGTTATGTTTTTATTTCCATATGTCAAGCTCAGCAAATAGAAATTATACTCTAAAATTGGCCTAAAACTGTCACATTTATGTGTGTTCCTTGTAGAGGATGTAATGTAATTTTCAGTTGGGGCTGCAATATGACAATATTATCGTTATCATGATAAATGACATTACAGTATGACACTTTTCTGAGCATGTGATGATATAGTAATTATCCAAAAACACACCCCAACTACATATATGATTATAAAGAGAGCATAATTAGTCCTGTTTTACTAGAGTTAGTGTAGCATATTATGTAAAATACTGAATTTAAATCAATATATTCATAGTTTTGGTGTGGCACTATTTTGTCTTTCCAATTATCAATATAATTTTTTTTATGTTTTACCTTGTTAATATTTTATGTTTTACCTTATGAACTCTCTGATTTTGTGTTTGAGTGTCTATTTTCCCAGCAGCCTAATGGGCATCACATCACCACAGCATGTTGTTAAAGTTTATTTTCATATGTTTTTGAATCTTTCAGGGGCCCTAATTGTCAATTTGGGCTTCTGGCTGCTACTACTGTTTCTAAGCCATGAAACATACTGTTTTTCATTCTATAGATAATAGAAAATCATAAAATTATTTATAAAAATGATACTTTAATAGAGTGTTACAAACTTCATAGGTCTATTTGAAATTACTTGACAACTGTGTGATAGTTTGGAAAATAAGAATGTGGGGTCCAAGCTTCAATTACTTCAATTATGTGGCTATATTAGCCTCACAGCCCAAGTACAAAGCTAAAGGAGCATGTTTTGGCTGATCCACTACTTTTGGATCAAGGGGGGAGTCATTTAAACGTTGTTTCTCATCAAACTATTTCTTCAACATAACATCCTAACCATGTACCTTTAATTTATAGCACTGTGTAAGATTTGGGTATCTGGAGACTTCTCTGCTAGAAATGTGTAACTGCACACAGCGTACAGAAGAACATTTTGTAGTGTGGGATATGTTTTAGACCCCCTTCCCTGAGTGGATGAATCTGATGATTGAAAGAGAATTCAAAGAGTTCAATTGAGCAGGACTTTCTTTTTGAGCCTGTGCATGTGACGTTAATACATAAAGACATGCATAAAGAACTCCCCACCTGATGCCTATGTTTTTAAATGATTTGCTGTTCAAATAATTCATGGCTTGCAGCAGCACACAGACACCACATTTAAGCCTGTCTGATACTACTTCTTTTTTCTATTTTTTTTATGTTCCAAAACAAAGCACAGTTATTCAATAGACGTGTTTGAACAAAGAGACTCTAACATTATATGATGCCATGACAAGAGAAGTGATAACTGTGACCTTGGAAGGGAAGTGACTTTGCCCCACTTCTCGACGCAGAACCGACGTGGGCCATTGCTCCCCCTGAGAGAGGCAAAGCCTTCATAGGGAATACTCGAGGTGCCTGTAACAAACTGCAGAAAAAAACAAAATTAAAAGGACTTATATAGTAATAATGTCAGAGATTTACAAGCAGAGCTGCAGAAACACCCCTTGATTCACCCAATATAGGGTAAGTAAGAATCAGAGAATAAATGTTAACACTTTACTTGAACTCTGTTAGATAACATTAACATAATTTAGTCAAGCCAAATGCCCTCTCCGAAGTGATCCCCCATATCACTATAACCTACATTTGAAAATCTGGGCCTCTGAACTCTGAAATCTTACCCAGTCAATCACCACAACAACTTCAGTTAAGACTGAATTTAGGACAGTAGCTTTTACAGAATAACAGTTCCTAAATTTATAATCTTATCCATTAATTCCTGATAAGAAAACGTCATATCTAGACTAAAATTCCTGCATACTATCCTAACTTAAGAATAAACCCCAACAGTCATCTAAATTCTATTTTAATTGCCTGTTTCTTTCAATTTTAGGCATCATAGTTCAGTGTAACTGGAAAAATAATATTATTATACATTATATTGCAAAAATGCATCCTAACCACCTTAACCGGCGTCTCTCGATGTGGAGGAGTAGCGGCTCTACTTTGAGCTCCTCCCGGATGACTGAGCTCCTCAATCTGTCAAGTAGAGTATAGCCTGCCACCCTGTGAAGAAAGCTCATTTCCAGCTCATTTGTATCCGTGATCTCATTCTTCAATCTCATTACCCAAAGCTCATAACCATAGGTGAGGATTAGGATGCAGAGCGACCAGTTAACAGAGAGCTTTGCCTCATGGCCCAGCTCCTTCTTCATCATTACAGTCTGGTACAGCAACCGCATTGCTGCTACTGCCTGTCCCAGCCCATAGCCGTTCTCACAATCCCTCTTCCCGTCATTCTTGAACAAGACCCCAAAGTACTTGCATTCCTCCACCTGGGGCAGGTCTTCTCCCCTCGCCTGGACTGGACATGGCATCCTTTTCCAGGCGAGGACCATGGACTAAGGGGTTCTTGGGTTGCTGCTCTGACAAGCATCAACAGACTTTTGGCCCTAGCTATGCCTGGCGACTTCTGCAATGTAGGTTTTGAACAGGGTCCATTCGGACTCCGTGTCCCCTACCTCTTCCAGCACATGAGAAAAGTTCTCCCAGAGGTAGGAATTTAAATCACCCCAAAAAGGGGGCTCTGCCAGTCATTTCCAGCACACCCGCACTATTCGCTATTGGTAGTCTACCAGATCTGACCGCCAGTCTTTCCCTGACATCTGATCCAACTCACTACCAGATGGTGATCGGTTGACAGCTCAGCACCTCTCTTCACCCGAGTGTCCAGAACATATGGTCCCATATCAAATGACAAGAAGTCGATCATTGACCTTTGACCCAAGGAGTTCTGGTACCAAGTACACTTATGAACATCCTTATGTTTCAACTTGTTGTTTGATGTGGACAATCCATGCCTAGTACAGAAGTCCAATAACAATTCACTATTTGGGTTTAGATTGGGCAGGCCGTTTTTCTCAGTCACGCCCCTCTAGGTTTCCCAGTCATTGCCAACATGAGCATAGAAATCTCTCAGCAATACTATGGAGTCTGTAGCTGTGGCCCTTTCCAGAAACACACCCTCTTGCAGATTACTCCGAACGGTTGTTTGGTGCACAAGCATGCGCAACAGTCAGAGTTTTCCTCTTTGTGATTTTAATTCACATTGAGGGGACTCTCTCATCCACCGGTATCCCCACACCCACCTGGCGCCCCGCACCCTGAGAGAAGGACCAACCCTTACCAAGGAGTTTGGTTCCAGAGCCGACATTGTGAAAGGAGGTGTGGCCAACTATATCTACTTGGGATCTCTCAACCTCCCACACAAGCTCTGGCTCCTTCCCCCAAGTGAGGTTTCATTCCACATGCCAAGAGCCAGTTTCCACCGTGGGGGTACATGCTGCCAAGGACCTCTCTGCTGTCTCCCGCTGCCTATAAGGCACTGCACCGATCCCCCATGCTGAACATTGCAGGTGGTGGGCCGACATGGTCCCCTGGCTGAGACCGGCCGGGTTACATGGGCTGCCCGGCCAACAGGCACTCGCCGAGAAACACTGCCCCTAGACCTGGCTTCAGGGGTAGGTCCCAGTAATCCGCTCATAGGCAGGGTACACAATATATTGTGTTTCTTGTTCAGAGGAGATTTTGGATCGAGTTAGTCTGGGTCTTCACTCCAGACCTGTCCACCTTGGGTGTCCCTACCAGGAGCATACTTCTCCAGACAACCTAGCTCTGAAGATCCCTAGAGCCACACAAGCCCTTTCGCCAGGACAAGGGCCCGATGCAGCTAGCATTGCTGAAAACTCATGAGATAAAATATTGTGAATAATTAAGAGACTTGAATGTATGGTTGTTATTAGGAGAAATAACATGATGGTCAGCTAAAACTTTTGGGAAATGCAAACTGAAACTGGGAAGCAGGAATGCTCTGATAAATGGCAGGGGTGCTGCCGCAATACTCTTATCTACCAGTTTATTGCACCGTAGTGTTGTTTTCATCTTTTTTTACATCAGTAACAGTAGCCCTCAAACTAGGTAAAATTTTAAACAATATTTTGATTGTGTGTTTACATTTCAGCTGTATCGGCAGTTTAGGATTTCCCTACTTGTGATGAGATGCTAGAAGATAAATTCCTAAAATATGATAAAATTTGCTTGTGTAATTTGAATTTGTACACATCTTGACCTGTCAGATCTTAACTTAGGACAAAAGATGGAAATTTTCTGTAATATGGCCTCATGATCACTTTGTATAACACTTTTATAGGGAACAGAATTGGTGATGGTAGTAAAAATCAGTCATAACCGATGACTTCTTTTAGTGGCCTATCAGAGTAACAATAAGAAATATTATGTGAATCAGTCACTCTTACCAGTGAAAACCAGTGACTATTGTTAGGAGCATATGACAGTGAAAATGAGAGTCAACATCAGTGACTACTGTTAAAAGCCTATAAAGACGATCTGTTAGTATGAAAGAGCTCAGTGTATTGTGAGGCAGGTGACACAATGTCTATGATTAAATAGTTTGAGTCTGAGCAAACAAAACCATAAACATGCCATGGCAGCAGGGACAGATTGTAGTCTTGCAAGGCCCCTGGACACCAGCATTGTAGGAGGCCCTCCCAATCTGTCATGACCATCACTGGTAATGTTAATATGATAGTCACATTACTGAACATAATCTGACAGCATATCATCACTGTTGGAACAAAACATCATATCCAAAATGCCAAATTTTTAGGAGGAGGAAAAAATGTTATCAATTTGCAATGGACCATTTTAAACCATTTTATTGGTCCGTTCAAAAACTGGATATAGTTTTTCATGACAGCAACATTATGACATGTTTATGGCATTGTTGTGTCAGTGTTGGGACAGGTTCAAATAGTGTTACCTAGTGTTAATCTCCCTGTATACACTGATCAGGCATAACATTATGACCACCTCCTTGTTTCTATGCTCACTGTCAATTTTATCAGCTCCACTTACTATATTGGTGCATTTTGTAGTTCTACAATTACAGACTGTAGTCCATCTGTTTCTCTGCATACTTTGTTAGCCCCCATTTTACCTTTTTCCTAAGTGATCAGGATCCTCATGGACCCTCACAGAGCAGGTAGTGGGTGGTGGATCATTCTCAGCACTGCAGTAATACTGACACGGTGGTGGTGTGTTAGTGTGTGTTGCGCTGGTACGAGTGGATCAGACACAGCAGTGCTGCTGGAGTTTTTAAACCCATCAGTGAGAATAGTCCACGAACCAAAAATATCCACCCAACAGCGTCCTGTGGGCAGCATCCTGTGACCACTGACGAAGTAATAGAGGATGACCAACACAAACTGTGCAGCAGCAGATGAGCTATTGTCTCTGACTTTACATCTACAAGGTGGACTGACAAGGTAGGAGTGTCTAATAGAGCGGACAGTGAGTGGACACAGTGTTTAAAAACTCCAGCAGCACTGCTGTGTCTGATCCACTCGTACCAGTACAACACACACTAACACACCACCACCATGTCAGTGTTACTGCAGTGCTGAGAATGATCCACCACCCAAATAGTACCTGCTCTGTGAGGGTCCATGGGGGTCCTGACCACTGAAGAACAGGGTAAAAGGGGGCTAACAAAGTATGCAGAGAAACAGATGGTCTACAGTCTGTAATTGTAGAACTACAAGGTGCACCTATATAGTAAGTGGAGCTGATAAAATGGACAATGAACGTAGAAACAAGGTGGTCATAATTTTATGCCTGATCGGTGTGTATATATATATATACACCCACACACACGCATACAGAGAGATTCACATGAAAGAGGCCCTGAATATTCTGTTGTAACTCCGGTTAGGATGAAGCAATCTGAGCCAAAAATATATGCTACATACCTTGACGTATGTGTTATCGATTGCATTACATGCGATGCTGGAAGTGATCTCCATTTTCTGCCAGACACATGAAGGGGTACGGGGGTATGTACCCGGAAGCTGCAAACGGAGGTTAAATGTCGCAACGGCTGTCCGGCGCCTACCTCATCGCTCCGACGCAGGGGCATCCCAGCTTGTTCGAAGCTCCATATACTGAGGAGCACACTGCACATTGTTTCGTTCAGATTGCTTCGTCCTAACGAGAGTTATTACAGAATATTCGGGGCCACTTTCAAGCGAATCTCCCTATATATATATATATATATATATATATATATATATATATATATATATATATATATATATATATATATATATATATATATATATATATAAAAAAAACCCAGTGATCCTGACAGCAGGTCAGATTGAATTTGTCGGATTGGTACTGTACCTGAAGGAGCCTCAGTCTCTGTTCGTTGTTAAAATGTTCCACCGCGGCCCAAAACCATCGAATGACAATATGATTGTCATGATAACCTTCCGGGAAAGCACAGTAAAGATGTTATTTTCAGTTAGTTTAATAAAAATGCTAATTACAAGGCATGTCCATGTTTATATAAAACAGGGCGTTAAACAGTGTCACAAACCACATAATCAAGTCTATTAGAGATTGCTTAACACCTTGGATGAGGTTTTCAGTATGTGATGATTTATGTAAGCAGTTTCATTCCTAGTCAGTTACATAAGCCTCATAGCTCCAGTGCAGAAGTGAAGAGACAAACATGTCTTTGGCTAAATAAGGGGGAAACTACGTAAATATGATTTTTCACCAAACTACCCCTTTAAGTCTCTGAGGTGTGAGGGCATTTTGCAAATCTTCTTAAATTCGCCTTTAAAGGCACCTGCATATAATATGACTTATGCATTTCATATCAAAATGCTCTGTTATCTTAATCTCTATTTTAGTGACTTCCTGAGTGTCCTTTGGTCAGTTTCATACCAAATGTAGACAGACACACAAATCCACTAATTACACACAAAGAGAGACAGATGACATGTTTCTCAACCCCTCTTCATAGCCTCATAACTCCAGATGTGAGTCACGTATGATCTTGCACATGAAGAGTGTAATCAAAAAGGGCAGACTACAGGCTACAGATCCAGGAAATGTTTGAACCGTATTTCTGCAGAGTATTATCACAAAAAGATAGAAACATGCACGGAAACACTGAATTTGACACACAGGTGAGTTTGTCATCCCCTGAGGGTTAATGTACTCTATTCAATATACTCAAATTGTTTCTATCATTCTGAACTGCAAAACTATTAGAATTGCTACCTCCTCGATACTCTGTGTTGTTTCTCCAGTCTGCCAGATCGATTTCTGCAGTTCCAGCTATGACAAGCTCCAGCTCCCGGGCATCAAACACTGACACCAGCCGCACATCCACAACCTGCACAAACAAAAGGCAAGAAACTTACATGCAAATGCCCTGAAAAAAATATGTTAGCAAGTGAAACATCATAAACGTGGACAGTAAATCGTTGCTGTCCAAAGAAAATTTCCATTTTTGTCGATTTTTCTTTTTCTACATAATTTGACCATGGCAGCTGTCCCTCATATTGTATAAAAATTTCATGATGAATGGACCAATAGAAATGCATCAAAATCACTTGGAATAAAATCTCTTTGTCAACTTACAGTAAAAAACTTACCATTAAAAGTTACCATTTTGGAGAGACATGTTTTCCTTTGGACAGCTCTGAAGTGTAATTTTCTTTGCATAGAAAATGTTTTTTCAACCTATTTCTGATCCTTTATGTATTTCAAGTAATTATATTTGCACTCTTAAAAAAGATGGTTCTTCAATGGTTCTTTAGCAAAGTGAATGATTCTATTTTGAGCCATGAGTTCTACACAACCATTTCATGCTTAAATAGTTCTTTGCATGGTGAAATCGTTCTTTAGATTGATGAAGAATGTGGTGTAAATAGTTCTACATAGCACCCAAAAGGCTTCTTTAATTACAATGTCAAGCTTGTAAAAATAGCAGAACCCTTTTTGTGCTATATAGAACCATATTCAAAAAGGTTTTATACAGAGGTATATAGAACACATTCTCTTTCAACCTGAAATCACCATGCAAAGAACCATTTAAGCAAAGAACCATTTTAGAACTCCTGGCTCTAAATTTATTGCCTTTTGACATGTTTTCATTTGCTAATTTTTCATTTTTTGCTGCGTGTGAATAAATGCAAGTACCTATTCAGCCATTCCAGTGACTGTCTTTAATAGAATATGATGTCCCACCTCATAGAAGCCTCGCACCAGGCTCTCAGTCTGCTGGGCTACTCCTCTCTCGATACGCCACTTCACCATGCGCTCAATGTACTCCTTCTTATTCTTCTCAGATACTGGGACGCCAGCTCCACCAGGCTTCAGTTCACGTTCTGTAATCTGGGGTAGGGAAAAGAAAGATGCCTCCTTATTCTGTAACAGCAATAAACAACTTCTGTATGAACAATAATTTAATGGCATACCTCATTCATGCTCATTCATTCATTCATGTTAAGGTTCATGGGGCAATATTTTGTAAGTTTTAAAGGGCCCATGTCATGGAAAACTGAATTTTCCTTGCTTTTCGAAGAGTGTGTTGTACTATGTAAACATTAGTCAAATTTAAAAACATATCATTCACTACCCAGTCCATACATACATGTGGGAACTAAGCTGCTTGTTTGGAATTAATCATGGTTACATATGACTGCCCTACAGCAGTCTGGCCCCGCTCTTTCATTTATATATATATATATATATATATATATATATATATATATATATATATATATATATATATATATATATATATATATACACACATACATATATCAGTTTTAAAGGTGCAGTAGCAAAAACAGCCTGTTTAATTTTAAGAGAAGCTGGGAAATGGTCATGTAAAAATGAATCATGACTATTTTTGGTATATATATTCACACAAACATAAGTGGACTTCAAGGAGAAAATGAGAATTCACAAGAAAATGAAAAAAACATTTACTTGCTTTTTTATAGAGTTTCATGTACAATATAAAATTATTCAAGTTTCAAAAACAATCCTTCATGCCCTTGTACATACAGTTCATATATCGGAGCTAAGCTGCAAAAGCAGACTTGTGATGTCACAACCATGAACCCATTTACACATGACCATGTCATATAACAGTGCCGTTACTGCAGATTGCCTGTGTGTTTTTAGAGTTGACGATGCGGGTATGATGTGTAAATGGCTGTGGGGAAGTGAACAGATCATTGCATACTTCCAAAAGACCCAAACTCATCTGATGGGAATGACTGAAGTTTATTCCTGAAAATTTTAATGAGATTTTAACCCTTTTTCTTCCACACATTTCATCCCAGAATGCTTTTGAACAAGCCACTGTGAATAAAGTTCACAGTGGCTTGTTCAGGGATAAACAGAAGTTGCGAAAAGCATGCTGAAAGAAGCATGATTGTTTCAGATAAACCCACACAAACATTACTGAATGGAATATCAATTTACTTAAACAGGAAGATGTATAATATGGGCAGTTTAGGAGGGAAGACTGTATTTAGTCTAGATAAGCTACTATTATCTAATATACACATGGCCTGCTGACCTGACCAAACACCTCTTCGTTGACAGTGAAGGTGAGATCCAGCATGTCTTCAATGTCATTGTCTTTCATCCACTGTAGGCTCTGGTGGAACTCCTCATCCAAGAATTCCAAGTCACTCAAATCACATGGGCTGCAGAAAGGGGCAAATAAAGTCTCAACACAGCATGGTTTTCTCCATGTTTTATTGTGTTTAAATGACATCTGTTTATTGTGTCAGTTAAACAGGATTGTTTGATATGAAGAAAGCTGCAGTTGTCTGTTTTATTTCAGCACGATTATCTTTATGGGGGGGGGGGTGTGAATTGTTTTTTTATTGCATGGAGTTCTAAGCCCTCTCCTTTTATTCCACGTTTCTCACTAGCAGCTCAACACAGAGTCACAACATTTCACACACAGTGTCCTAGTTCATCTCATAACAAAGTTATAGGGAAAATATTTTATTTCATCATATTAATTCAAAATACCATAGACAATTACTATTCCACTGGCAGAATGTCCACTAAAGGGGTCTGCACAAAATGTGTCTGGATCTTTTAAACATATATTACATAATACCAGTATGTTTGCTGACATTTAGTCTAGTGACCGCTTGTTATTGGTCTTTCATTGGGCTTTTCCTGGTTTAGTTCTATATGTGCTATATTCTTGCAATAATGTCAGAAATTAGGGTAGTAGTAGACAAGTACAGACTGCAGTGTTCTTCCCAAGGATCATGTTTCATTGGGTTTTCACAAGAGTTTTTCAATTGCTGCTAACATCAGATCCAAAGATAATTCTTTCACTTAAGTATGTATCTTATTATCAAGACTCACATGCGTAGCAGGCCTTTATAGAACGGTCGAGTGAAAAAGGCATCTAGAAGATACTGGTGAATCAGAGCAAGGCCCAAAATACGCCCGCTGAACCGAAACCTGAGAAGAACGAAAACAAGTGTATTTCAGACAAACCAGTAATTACTATGTAGCAATTTATGTTAACACTTTACATTAAGGGTCGCTAATCAATCATTAAATATATAATAATCAACTATTAGTTTCTCATTATTTAGTTATTAGTTAACTCTTCATTAAGCATTGGCTATTACTTAGTAATTGATTAAGCACTTATCAATTAGTAATTAAGTACACTGTTAGTTGATAAGTTAGTTTGTCGTTAGTTTGTGGCTTACTTACTCGTTATCTGTGTGCTAATTGCTGCTTATTACATTGTTAATTAACTAAAAAGTATTTTCTTCATATAAAGAAGTAACGTGATAACTTACTAGCACCTATGTGTTAATCCCGCTAATTATCTGTTAATTAACTTTCCATCACCTCCATATATTCAGTTGCTTCACTTTTCTTACTTTGGTTCTTGTTCATTAAAGATGCTTATGGTCACATCTGACCGTAAGATGAGCGCACACAAATTCATGGACGGTTTTGTTATTCATCACGTTCATCTTGGCATATCTGTACTCATATCTGGTAGGAGTGCATGTAAATTTGGGCATAAATGCTGGATATGTGGCTAATTAACTAAAACTATTATCAACATAATCTGTAATTGCAAAAATAACAATAGAAAATTTCAATAATACTAATTTGTGTGCATGACAGTCCAGTTGTCACGCCTCGAACGGATTCGGACTACGTTTCCCAGAAGGACCTGGGAGATCACGTGGATGAGCAACTTCTCTCGGAGTCCAGAGCGAACTCCATTGCCCATAATCCCTTGGGTGATCACATGACCCACGACAATAGTTCACACACTTGTCAGCGTTCCCAATCACCTGAATATTGACTCAGAACACCTGTGTTTTGAATCATATGACTCTCTTAGAATAGTATATCAGCCCGGGCTTTAGTTAGGATACTTTGCGAGGTACTGATTCTCCGGAACTTACTGAGCGTTTTTTCTGATCTGTTTATGAGTGATTGTTTTCGACCCACGTTTGTTATATCGACCTTGATTTTTGCCTACTCCCCTTGTACCTTTGCTGATTCTGTATTGGACTTGTGTTTTTGACCTTTCTGCCTGCCTTTTGACAACAATTTTGACTTTCCCCTTGGTTTTGTCTGCCCTGTGTTATGATCACTTCGGTGATCTCCTGCTGCCTTTTGATCAAGTCACACGCTTGTTTTTCAACCCCGCTTGTGTCACCTGATAATAAAACTTTGTTTGCATTTTTTCATCCGCGAGCGTCTGAATTCTGTTGCCGCGTCACAGAATACCTCGCCAGTATGCAGACGGCGGATCCGGAAGCCTTCCACAAGGCTTTAACGGAACAGGGACAGCTTTTGGGACGTCAACAACAGGTGCTATCCGGGGTAACCCAGTCACTGGACTCCATCGCACAGCAGCAGGCGGAACAGCAGACCCAGCTGGCCCAACTAGTGGCAAGTGTTCGAGGTTTGACGGGACAACTACAAAGCATGAACCTCACCGAACCAGCCACAAGCGCCAGTGTCTCCACGGTGATGACGGCACCATCCACGCCCGTGTTTCCAGTAAGCAAACCTGACAAGTTCGAGGGAGAACCCGATAAATGTAGAGGATTCCTCCTCCAGTGTTCTGTGTATTTTGATAATTCCCCTGCTAGCTCCGATCAAGCTAAGATCGCTTTTATCGTCTCGTGGTTAGCCGGTAAAGCACTAGAATGGGCTACTGCTAGCTGGGATCAGATACACCGACTTTCATATGCACAATTTCTAGGGGATTTCAAGACTGTGTTTGATCATCCCTACGAAGGGAAAGTCAGCGGGGAATTATTGGTGAACTTGCGCCAGGGAAACCGCTCGGTAGTGGATTATTCCTTAGAATTCCGCACATTAGCCGCAAGCAGCAGTTGGAACAAGGCAGCACTATTAGTGATGTTTCGCCAGGGACTTCATGCAGATATATTAACTGAATTGGCGAGTAGGGATGATGATCTAACACTGGATCAACTTATCACGCTCGCTATCAAGCTCGACCATCTACTGCACCAGCGGAACAAGACCAAAGGTGACCGAAATCCCCGTAGAGCACCCGCTAAACCTAGATTAGGATCTGAAAACCATGATAATTCTGAACCTATGCAATGTGACTCATCCCGGTTGTCACGTGAAGAACGTCAGCGTCGGTATGACAACAACCTCTGTCTGTACTGTGGGAAGGCAGGCCACCAAGTGCGTGAGTGCCGTGTCAGACCCCAAAAAAGCAAGGCGCCAACCCCTGGACAGTGTGTGGTGAGTGTACCCACAAAGGGGTTGGTTTCTAAGTCTTTTATGTTACCAGTCACTATATACTGTCAGCTACAATCTTTTGTCGTTTCAGCCTTGATCGATTCAGAAGCAGAAGGGAATTTCATCCACGCACAGGTGGTCAAGCAGCTACAAGTCCCACTAAGGAATCTCCAGAACCAGCTTAAGGTGGCAGCTCTGGATGGAGGACCCGTGGGTGTTGGCACTCTCACAAGTCACGGACCCCTTAAAGATCCAAACCAGTGCGCTTCACCTGGAGACTTTATCCTTTTTAGTTCTGGAACATTCAGAATTCGAACTTATATTAGGACTCCCTTGGCTTGAAGAACATAACCCAATCATATCCTGGTCTGAGCACACCATAACTAAATGGTCAGATTATTGCATACACTCCTGCCTCCAGACTCCTCTTTTAACCCTGTGTTCCACCTCAATTGAAAGCCCGAATGCCGAAGCATCCTGTGAAATTCCCCCTGAATATATGGATTTGAGAGAGGTTTTTAACAAACACAATGCCACTAAATTGCCCCCTCATAGACCGTATGACTGTGCAATCGATTTAGTAGAGAACCCTGTTTTCCCCAAGGCTAGAATTTATCCCCTCACACAAGAGGAACAGAAGGCTCTTGATGTTTATATTCAAGAAGCACTCAGCCAAGGCTTCATCCGACCCTCCACATCGCCCATAGCCTCGAGTTTTTTCTTTATCAAGATAAAAGACGGGGGCCTGCGACCATGCATAGATTATAGGGCCCTTAATCAGATTTCCAAATCTTACCCTTACCCACTTCCCCTAGTCCCTGTGGCCCTAGAACAACTCCAAGGAGCGCAATATTTTACGAAATTAGATTTACGCAGCGCATACAATCTCATCAGAGTTAAAGAGGGGGATGAGTGGAAGACGGCCTTTTTGACCACCAGGGGGCACTATGAGTACAGAGTGATGCCCTTCGGGCTCTCTATCGCCCCCTCGGTGTTTCAAGCTTTTATTAATGACGTGCTTCGAGACATGTTAGGACAGTACGTAATTGCCTACTTGGATGACATACTGGTGTATTCGCCCGATTTCGAGAGCCATGTCAAACATGTCAGAGCAGTACTACAATGACTATTACAGAATAATCTGTATCTTAAAGGGGAGAAGTGTGAGTTTCATCTACAGTCTGTGACCTTCTTAGGCTATGTCATAAGTCAACAAGGGGTGGTAATGGATGACCAAAAGGTCGATGCAGTTATGCAATGGCCCGTTCCCAGGACAGTGAAAGATGTGCAAAAGTTTTTGGGATTTGCAAATTTCTACCGTAGGTTTATCCGTAATTTTAGTACTACAGCAGCACCCCTTACGTCTTTATTAAAGGGAAACCCTAAAAGAATTATCTGGAATCCGCAGGCCGATAGGGCCTTTCAGAACCTCAAGGAGGCCTTCACATCGGCTCCCATTCTGAAGCATCCCGACCCACAACAACCATTTGTGGTGGAGGTGGATGCCTCGGAGACTGGTGTCGGGGCAATTTTGTCACAAAGAACTGGATCCCCTCCAAAATTGCATCCGATAGCTTTCTATTCCCATAAGTTATCACCTGCTGAAAGGAACTATGGGATAGGAGACAGAGAGCTACTAGCTGTAAAATTAGCTTTGGAAGAATGGAGGCACTGGCTAGAGGGGGCCAATCACCCCTTTTCGGTAATTACTGACCACAAGAATCTTGAATATCTACGTAGTGCCAAAAGATTAAATGCACGACAAGCTTGGTGGTCTCTGTTCTTTTCCCGGTTTCGATTCAGTATCACCTACAGACCTGGCTCCCGTAATACAAAAGCTGATGCTCTGTCCCGTCTCCATCAGGGAGAATCCAACCCCTCAGCTATCGCACAACCCGAACGTATTCTGCCCCCTGAAGTGATCATCTCATCTATTCGATGGGAGGTTGATGAAGAAATTGAACAAGCTAATAGTACGTTAGAAATCCCTACTCAATGCCCCCCAGAGAAATTGTATGTTCCATTAAATTTTCGCACGCGACTTATAACATGAGCCCATTCATCTTTAACGTCCGGTCATCCAGGAGAGACACGAACCCACAAACTCCTAGCACAAAAGGTATTGGTGGGAGTCTATGAGTAAAGACATACATGCCTTGGTTTCATCATGTTCCATTTGTTCCCAGTGTAAAACGCCTAAGGCGCTCCCAGCTGGTAAACTCATGCCATTGCCAGTACCACTCCGACCCTGGTCCCACATAGCCATTGACTTTATAACTGACTTGCCCGAATCCCTAGAGTTCACCACCATTCTGACGGTGGTGGATCGGTTCTCACGAGGAGTACGATTTGTCCCCTTCTCCACACTCCCAAGTGCATTTCAGACAGCCGAGGCCTTGTTCCAACAAGTATTTCGTTACTTCGGCATCCCTGAAGACGTCGTATCTGACAGAGGACCCCAGTTTACGTCACAAGTATGGGCAGCCTTTTTTGAACACTTAGGGGTCTCTGTCAACCTTACTTCTGGGTATCACCCACAAGCAAACGGACAATGCGAAAGAGTGAACCAAGAACTGGGGAAATTTCTAAGGCTGTTCTCTCATGACAACCCATCAGACTGGGCTAGGTATCTGGTGTGGGCAGAAATGGCACAGAACTCACTAACCAGCTCTGTTACAGGCATGACACCATTCCAGTGTTTCTTA